AAGCATTGAACGGGGAAGTCCCCGTGGACATTTCTTATCTACAAGTCCTGCCTTGGGGCAGACTAGAGCTGCTGTACTTTCAGTACATCCTCAGTTCATTGTCAGTCCAGTGCACAGAGTACATGGTGCTGGATACTGGAATAATACTGCTTATTCTCACAAAGGGGAAAATGGCCTGTTGAACTCAAAACCTTGATCCTGTCCACTCTTCGTTGGCGAAAATAAATTGTATTATATCAGTACCTACTGTTACTCTGTTACATACGCACCTCTCTCTGGAGAGAGATCTAATACGATCTCCTTTGTATCTGTTTATATACTCTCTGTGTGTGCACACAACTCGTGCTCTGCGTTTCTGTCAGGGCACTTAGCAGTCCCTCAGCTGATAAGCGGACAGGACAGTTTGTTCAGCAGGGCTGTGTTAGGGGGAGGATGTGAGCAGAAGTGCACAAGGGTTGAATGGAGTGGGCAAGCCCTGGTTTAAATCCTGCCCTGTGTTTTGCAGGCTGTTGGAGGGTTCTGTAGCTGCTGCGGGCGTGTGAAAGGAGGGACGAGCGCTCATGAAGGGTACGGCACAGTTAGAAGGCAACGGAGAAAGCAGGGTTGCGTAGCACTATGGAGGTGGCATGGAGAGCTGCTGGTGCTGTTCGACGTATGCTTGGAGTCAGTGTGCTGGGAGGAAAGGCGGCGGTACATAAGAGTGAAATGCGCCACAGGCTGAGCTCAGAATCCCTAGGGGTGGTTCATCTCAAAAGATCACAAACCCCGTATAGTCTTCATTAACCTTCTACATTTCTGGTTCAGCTGCCACTAACTATAAACACTGCTCTCTGCACCTTTGTTGTTGTTTCATGTGCATTAAGCTAAGGCCAAAACATAAGATAAAACTGTGAAGTTACTTCTTATTAGCTCCATTCTTTATCCTTCTCCTCACCCATTCCTTCCAGAGCATGGGCACATGTCTCTAAGTCTGGTTCCCCACAAGCAGTGGACAGTGTGATGGGAACAACATCATTGTCTTCCTTGATGCCAGTTCTGTGTGCCCATGTAACGCTGCAGGCTTCTGAGTGATGGGGTAACAGCTGGACAGAGACAGCCCTTAGAACCTGATGTTCTAGGCCTGGAAACCTTATGCAGAGTCCTGGCATCTCTCCTCCCCACCCCACCCACCCTTGGATAGCAGTGAGGCTTCTGGCAGTTTGGGGAGAGGTGGTCTGTTCATGCATGTGTCAGGTCAGAGTTGCACATATGAAGGGCATCTCCTTTGTTAGTGGGAGGTGTTCCTGCAGTCTCAGACCTCGCTAGCGTAACAGCATGCCACGCATAAGGTGTGTCTTCCTCTTGGTGTGTGTGGATGCTCATGGCAGTGGTGTGTACATACCAAAGGGAAACCCCCAAACAACTGTTCTTGTGGGTTATAGTTACTCTCAGCAGTGTGGTTGCTTTGAAAGCAGGTTTGTAACCTTTTTCAGTGTCTCCAACAAGCTTTTGGCTTCCCTAAACTGTCAGCAGGAGTGTCTGTTCTTTTAAAACTGTCTATGCTCCTGGTTTAAAAACCATGGGACGGTTCCAGTCCCGCACTCCCCTAGACTCCAGTCAGATTGTGAGCTTAGAAGTGGGTTTTGTGTCCTTAAGAAAGGTTGGTGCCCGTAGCAAGAATTTGGGATTGACGTGTGTCTTGCTGTGTTCATTTGAGTTTGCACTGTCCGGATTCATTTCCGTAGGAGCCAGTGAAGAAATGTTTGCGAGACTGTGCTTAGGGGTGCAGGGGGCTGTCAGATCTGGGAAGAAGCCAGCTGACTTAATGGTTTTATTAAAACATTACTCCAAAAGAGAGACGGATACAGATAACCCTGATTCCTGTTGTGTAACAGAACTCAACCAGTTGGGCCTGTCAGGGTCACTCACATGCCTGGGATACCCCGTTCTCAACCCTTGGCTAAATGCTGGAGGAAGAAAGCCTGGCTCAGCTAGAGAGGGCTGGGTAAATAACGCATACAGCAGCAGCAAACAAGCAGCTGGCCCAAGCTGTGGGCCTCTGAATGCTTGTGCTTTTGGAGGTACATTTACCCACCTATCTGCCATCTAGCCATGTTCTGTAATTCCAGGGTTAGCCCCTCTGAATACACACGCTCGGTCTGGAGGTCTGGAGGTGGTCTGCCAACGAGAGATGGGCGTTCCACCACACAATGTGCACAAAATCAGGGGTATCTCCTGTCCCCTGACTTACCGCTCCCGGTACGGGTACCTCAGAACATGCACCGTTCGCATTTTCACTGGCAATTGGTTTAATGATTGTGAGTGAAAATATTGTAATTATCTGTAAATATGTAGTTAACAAATTGACCTAGTTCCTGTATTTTTTAAGTTTTTGTACTAAAGTTTATAGATACAGTATGTGCCACCTAGAGAGGAGCTACTGTCATTGCCAGCTGTAGCCCAGCCTGCATTTAACCCCTTAAATCGCCTGTGTGACACTAAGGATTCATGCTGAAATATTGTAAGGGCTGGGGGGAGTTAAGGGGGAATAATGACTTAATTTGCTGTCCAGGTGGAAATGCTTCTGGAACTAACAAAACATGATTGATCCATATCTTTTATATTCACCATTTAAGTTGGGTCCCCTGGGTTTTAGATGCGTGTATGCAAAACCTCTGCCCTTTCAGTCTAAATGCAAAGTGCGGTGATGTGGACAGTGCAAAGGACAGAAGTGTTGGCTTGGAGCTTTTTCTGGGGCCGAAACTCACATAAACTAAGCCAAATTTCTCGCTATCCCTTTCAACAGCACCCTTTTCTCTTACTTACAGAATTGTACAGAAAATACATATTCCCCCCACCCCCTGAACGTGTTTTGATGTCAGGATAATCTAAAGAGCACGTAAACCGTTGAAGAAGAAATTAATTTTATGGAGCTCGTTGCCTGCTTTTAGTGCCAGTATAACACATTTCTATGGCAACTCTGAGCTCAGCAGAGTTTGGAAATGAGCACACAGTTGTTAATGAACTGAAGTATGTAATCGCTGCTTTTGCATGGCTTGGCAGCAGTGTTAGATTAGGGCCACCTGAAAGCATTGGAGGCAAATTCTTGATTGGAAATGGTCATTTGCTTAAGTTTCCCTTGACTAAATGCATAGCCAAGGCATGGTGTGTGCTCCTAGAAATTGCATGTGGTCAAGGAATGGAATATGCAGAGGTGGGGGACAGTTTTCTGCTGTCGAGCAGGCTCTCCTTGCAGACTGGTGGGTGTACTCCCACTGCCCTGCTTGCAGATGCTTATGTGGTTGAGATGTAGGCTACAGCTGGCTTGCATTGTACTTTTTGTTTTCAACACTCATTACTAAATTAGAGAGTCTTTTCCCTTGGATTGCATATGAATGAAATAATCTCACACACCTCACTTGTCCCACCTTCACTGAGTATCTCATAGTGTAAGCAAATCTGCAACCCTGGAATAGCTCTGAGAGCTAGAGGTCTACAAGAAAAGAGGGTTTCATGACCACTAGAGAGACCAGTCTTTGGAAGATGTTTGTTTCCCTGGAGGCTGTTGGGATGTGAAATCTTCAAGACACTGACAGGATCAAGGAAGGGAGGAAATGCAGAGATGGGGAGGCATGGATGGTGGGTGTGGTTTCTGGCAGTCAAAACCACCTGCTTCCTTTCTTCAACCTTCCTTTTTCTCCTAATCCCTCTCAGCTCTCACCTGAGCTTGCTTAGAAGAGGGATACTTTATCTGACCAAACCAACTGAAATGGGGGGTGGGTCTGATGTAAATAAATTAACACTAAAAATCAAATATAGTGCATACTACATAAACAAAAGGCTATACCGACTTGAAAATTGTAAATGCTGAAGTTTTTATTAACACTTGGGTTGCTAAAATTCCTATTTATGTTATTCCATGGAAATCATTAACCCATTTAAAACTTAAGGCGAACAGTTATGAAAATGCCAGATTGCCAGGAGGACTTTAGCTGTCAGAGCCCCTTTGGTTTCGTACACAAGAGAGGTAGCACAACTTGCATTAAGAAGGTAGGAGAAGGCTGTGTGAGGTGTGTATAGTGTATATTTTTAAAAATAGCTTGCTTGTATTGTGAAGACTTTAAAGATAAACTTGAGAATTCTAACATAACTATTAACAAATTTAACATAAGTTATCCCACTGGGTTCGGAGCGTCTTGAATGTATAATCTTTTTGTAACCCAGAATGATTTATTCTTCTACCAGTCAGCCAGACATCTTATTTATATGTTTAATTTTGTATATCAATTTTTCTTTTGTTTTCATGATTTCCAGCATGCGTCTGTTTGGTTGTTTGCACAAGTATTGTGTAAACTAAAAGAAATTTTAACTTGAACCTGGCATTTTTACTTTCTCGGATATTCTTCCTCCACACTTTTTGGGTGAACCTGGGGGGGTGTATTTTCCGTTTGCAGCTTCCGGGGGAATGCCTGGTCTTTTGCCAGTCATCTAAAATGCTCCACTGTCAGTTGCTTTAAAAGAAAATGAAAATGTCACCTTATCAGTCCTAGGCAGCGCACGGGGAGGAGGGCAAGTGCACACCTGTAGCAGCACAAACCTGCGTTTGGTTGCAAAACGAAGGCAAAGCTTGGCTTTAACTAGATAGCTGCAGAGCTCCCCTAAGTTCCATGTGTTCTCGCCACAGCCCTGACACAGGCACAGCTGCCATGACCTGCAGTGGGAGCTCTGCTGGCTTGAGGGCTGCTGCGGGTAGCCAGGTTCCCACAATGATAGTGGGAGTTAAAATAACTGTGTCCCTCTTGGCTGCCACCTGTGGGGTCATTGTTACACCCCTTGCTGTGTGCCTGCTAACGTGTGAGTGGGAAGAGGGATGCTCACAGACACCAATTAATGTGTTTGCTCCCCTCCTCCCTCTCTCCCCCCACCGTTTCCCTAACAACCTTCAGCTCGTGACCAAGAACTCTTCCCCAAGGCCCCAGCCTCTGTCCTTGGCCAGTAGAGGGCTCATTCATTCTGGGGCATCGGGAGTGGAGGTGTAAACACGGCTTTAACAAAGCAAGGCCAGGAGCCGGGCATCACTTTATCATGGGTGGTGCTGCGCACGCCGTTATACTGAATAGAGGCCTGAGACTTCCAGGCCCAATTCCTACAGGGATGGATCACCAAGGGTTAAAACAGCTGTTTGCACCAGCTGGGATGGGTGAGTCTAAAGGTGTGCATTTTCCTTTTGGTAGAAAAGGCCACAAGCACTAACTGATAAGGCTTCTTGTACAGTATATTGTCAGTATTCCGGTATCCTTCCGGTTCACCATACATTAGCGCTCATATATAACCTGTATTAATTGTATAGATTGTGCATTTAAAGCTGTTACCGAGTTGTCAGAAAATAAGAGAAGAGAAAATAAGGTCGTATGTAATATTTTGTTTGTAAGTATCCTTTGTAACAGAGCAAAGGAAATGTTAAAAAATCAACTGTAATAAAGTAATTTTAGTACATGGAGCGTCTGCTGCAGGTTTTGAAAGGTGAGGAGAGGAGGAGAGCGCCTGAGGATCAGGGTGTGGGCTTCGCATCTCCCATGAACGCTGTTCCTTCAGCAGCACGGCGCCCTCCCATGGTAGGGGCCCAATGAGATTGCTTTGACCCGGGGGCACTTTCCCATCCCAGCACACTCAGGCTGGTCGCTGGGAAGTGTGTGCTCGTGGAGTTTCATAGGCAGAAGGGGAGGATCAGTTAGCCATGCCCAGCCCTGAGAGTACGCAGCCTGGGCCATTTCCAGTGTGGTGGGAACACACCAGTCATGTCAGCCCCATGGGCTTTCGACGGTCTGCTCCTGTGGGGAGGGGACGGTAGGGCCTTTGTGTGCAGCGCCTGCCATCCTGGTGTGAGCGCGCAAGAGGGCTGGGGAAGGCTGTGCAACGGGGGGGTGACTGTACAGCGCTGCATGGCCCTTGGACAGCCTCTCCTAGGGACGCTATGCAGAGGTGCTAGTCGCAGCACCTGTCCGGCGCTACCTGGTGTAGGACCTCTGCCAGCTGAAGATCTCCTGGAGGTGGCAGGCAGCGGAGGATGCCTCTCTCTTCTGCAGGACACTCCTCCTGCACCGGTGCAGCCCCTTCAGCCTCTCCTCCGCCCGGAAGAACTCCGCGACGGCCATGAAGTACTCCAGCGTCATCCCGTGGCTCCAGGAGCAGGGTCCCTCCCTCAGGAAGCCGCAGTGCCCGCCGTGCGGCGTCAGCAGCAGGAAGAAATAGGGGCTGCTGTGGAAGAGCTCCATGGGGAGAGTGCTGGCCGGGGGTCCCCGGACGGGGTCGTCGGCGCTGCAGATGCACAGCACTGGGACGGCTGCCTCATCCGCATCCCGGAGGGGCTCGTTGCGATCCCAGTAAGCATCCCAGGTGACGGGGTGCTTCTTGGTCTGGCAGAAGAGGGTTTCCTCGAATTCCCGGAGTGAGCGGCTCCTGAACAGCCTGCCCATCTCCACCGCCTCTGCCAGCGCGGTGGCATACCTAGGAGGGACAAAGGCAACAGGCCAGGGCACGGCTCACATGGAGTGGCTGTGTCCTTCTCATTCACCAGAACATCGCTGCCCCCTGCTGGATGCTCTCAGATTTCTCAAGTGTTTCACGCTGGAGACGCATGTCCAACGGCTGCCATAGCTGGCTAGTGGCACTGCCCTGCAGCGGTTCTGGGGTAAGAGCTCCTGAATCCTACCTCCAGTGCCTAATCTGTGTGGCTTAGTGGGGGCCTGAAGCAACAACATGACAGGGGTGCTAGATACCATGGTGATGGGCATGTTACAAATGCCTGGCTGGGCCATGGTGTTCGTGTGCATCCGCCCCTGTGTTTGTGACACACTCAGTCTGCATAAGGTCTCTGAACTCCTCTCTGTATCCTCCCTGGGCCCCAACCGGGGGAGCTGGGTGCAGCTGGGTCCAGGGTGCCCTGCTTCTAGCCCATGCCACCCAAACCTACAGCCAGTTAGTGCCGCAGGTGCATGTGGCCATTTAATGCCTCTGCTTTTGCAGTCCCTGCCCGTTCAGATCGGAAGGGCCCCACGGCAGCTGTTGTTGGGGCAGGGGTGGCCTGGGGGCTCTGTGGGTCCAGCCCTTCCCTGCTGCAGGAAAGGAGGGGGCGTTGCTCTGCAGTTTCTCGCTCGTTTGTCATTTTGGTCACTTGGGTTGGAAACCATAGTGACAAGGAGAATCTTAGCACCTGGCCTCCCGTACATGGCTCTGGTTTCCATGCCAGCAGGCTGAGGCTGCTGCAGCATGAGAGTGTGGGACATGGAGAGCGGGCAGGCGGGCCAAGCTGTGTGTGAGGAACCCCGCCACCGCCCCAGCTGAGTATGGTATCCAACGCGCTACCCCTAAGGGCAGGGCATCCCTGGCTCTCCAGCTGCCCGTGGCAATGGAGCCCTGTCCAGTCCCTGGCTCCCGCATGCAGAGCATGGGACAAGGGACTCCGTGCAACCCAGAACGATAACCATCCAATTCAGGAGCACGAGTGTCCCCCTGCCTCTGGGCTGGGCTCCTGCGCATGGCTTTCTCCCTCCCCAGGGAGTGGTGACTTTCCTTCCTTCCCCCAAGAAGGTGCCCCTTTGGAGCGGGCCCAATGGCCTCCCTAGCACCCCCTGAGGTAGCACCCGGCGCCGTTGGACTTCTCCATATTCCTGGAATTGTCCATTGATGGTTCCCAGGCTGCATTGTAGCTGGGGCTCTTCCTCAGAGCAGACGGGGGGGGGCACTTAAGGAAATGAGGTGCAGACAGGCAGCATCAGCCCCAATCAGGTGCCCCCAGTAGCAGACTGGCCAAGGGGAGCCGTGAGGTTCAGCGGGGTCCTGCTGCCATTCGGAAGCTGTTTGCCTTGACTCTGCTAGAAGGGAGGATTTTGAGATGGCATGGCTGCCCTTCCGCAGCACGTCCAGGGCCTGCTCTACACACAGTCTCCCCAGATAACTCAGTTGGGGTGTCACTCTGGTAACAGCCCTGGGGTGGACACAGTTCTAGAGGGGTCAAGGGGGCTTACACCTGTGTAGCTTATTCTCCTCCCCTATGGGACTAGCCGGGCTGCTGCAAAGCACCTTTATACCAGTGTAGCCAGTCCCACAGGCGGGGCCGGTACTGCTGTACCAGTACAGTCCATCATACACCAGCTTGGTGCCAGGAGCCCTCAGCGGGGCTGGGCTGAGCAGTTTACCCCAGGGCAGATCCATCTGAGTGGTGGTTTCTGGGCGGAGACATAAAACTTCAGCAGAACTATTTCAAACTCCGGCAGGCTGGTGGGTGTTGGCTTGGGACTAGCTGAGGCAGTGAACTTAGCTTCCCTTGCTGCCCGGCTCCAGGGAGTTTTGACTGAAGGTTTTAAATTGGGTCTGGGGCATTTCTAATGTGCCCGTCAGCACTGGAACAAGGTGACTTTGCTTTCAACAATTCCCCCAACACTCACCTGCAGGGGCTGTCAGCTGGCCCTGCCTCGCTGGCTCCTCGCAGTGCCGCGAGACGGGCTGCCCTCCGTGCTCAGAGGAGCGAGTGTTGCTGGTGAGCTGCTCTCATCTGTTGGGCCTCGCGGCTCCCGCCTGCGCGCTCCCTGCTCTCTCCAGCTACCTGCGCAGCCTCTGCACGTCTTATCCCCTCACCCACGGGCTCCGTAGCCACCCGATCCAGCCAGGCGCAAGTTAATGTGGTTGTGAAAGTGCAGGCTGGTGCCAAGCAAGTTTCCCATGTGCTGATCTGCTGGTGCCCCTCAAGCCTGATCTGCAGCCCCTTGTTACCCCACCCCTGGGATCCTCAAATCTACCCCGAGCCTGCCCTACGCCACCCCTGCCCGCCACCCCAGCTCTGCCAAAGAACTTTGTCCCTGTTCTGTCCGCCCCACTGCCCTGCACTCCTGCCACCTCAGTCTGAAGAAGTGCAGCCAAGAGGGCAGGGGAGGGGCTTGGGAAAGTACCCACCTGCTGAGGCCTCGTTTCTGGTGCAGCAGCAGACTCCACTCATACAGCCAGGGGCACCCGGTCTCCAACCACTCCTGGCACCTGAACACAGGCGAGATGCAAGCTGCTGCAGCCAGGTAGCTGGAGGAGCCGCACTCCCCCAGGTAGGAGAGGAGCAGGCCGGAGCCCGAGCCCTCACTCACGGCACAGAGCGAGGAACCCGGCTGCCGCACACGGATGTATGTCACCGCCTCCTTGAGGTCGCCTGGGTCCCCGAAGGCCTGCAGCTTCAGGCTGGCAAGCGGGCTGCCGTTGTGCCCCCTACGGTTGAAGATGACGGGCTTGTAGCCCTGCTCCAGGGCCAGCAGGCAGAGGTGCAGGATGCCCCTGGTGACCTTGCCAGAGGCATTGGGGAGGACAAGCAGCACCGGGGCGATGCCAAAGGCAGTGGTCGCTCTACTCCGCTTGCCGGCACCACGGGGCCCCAGGACCCAGTCCAGGGCTACCAGGCCCCCATCGGCCAGCTGCAGGAGCTCCCGGGCCAGCTCCGGCTGGTGGGCAGCGGGGAAGAGGAGCTGGAACATGGTCTGGAGCTGAGGCCAAGTCCTCCACAGCCAGCGCCCGCTCTGCAGGGCAGCGCCCCGCTGTAGGCTCCTCAGCAGGCTCTGGGCCAGGGCCGAGGGTTTGCAGATGAGCCTGCAGTGCCCTGCCCCGGGCCCCTCCTCCCTAATGACATCGTCCCCATCTTCTTCCTCGCCTGCACCCGCCGGCTCCCGGCCTGGCCCCCAGAGCTCCCTGGCTAGGAGGCAGAGAAGGGCTAAAGCCAAGGCCCCGGCCACAAGGCTCCCTAGTGCCAGCATCAGGTGCCTCTCCCGGCTGGGGAAGAAGTGTCTCCCGGAGCCCCCCTGCGTGGGCTCTGCATCAGCCCCCCTCGTTACTTAGCAAATAATGGATTTGTTTGAGGGCGAGTGTGCTGATTGGATGGGGGTTGTGCAAGCGTTAACCCTTCCCCTGCCAGGCGCTCTCCCCAGGGCCCTGGCTAGCTGCCTTGAGGATCCTGCCTCTTTCCACCCCAGCTGTGGCTAGCAGAGAGCTTGCCCCATTCTCCTGCTCGGCCCCTGCTCCTCATGCAGGGAACGAGCGGCTCCGGTCCTGGGGTGGGTGAGCGCCATGCACAGCTGTTACTGGAGCCCTGGAGGTGTCAGCACTCTGCCCGCCCGGCAGCAGAGGATGGGGCTCATGCAGGAGTAACCAGACCAAGTGCATTGACCGGGCCACACTGGAGTTCAGGTGAGATGAGCGCATGGCTCTTGTAGCCTAACCCACTGCTGGCCTGCCGCTGTATTGCCCCACGGCCCAGCTGCGGGGGGAGGGTGGGGGTTCTCATGGAGAGGTCTAGGCTGCTGGGAATTTTCCATAGCCAAGCACTCTGCCCCATGTGACTGGCACAGAAATGGAGCCATTATACCCTGCACCTGCCCTTGTGGGCCCCTGAGCACCATGGCCACTCCCACCACCACACACCCCACGGGAGGAGGGGCAGGCCCTTGTTCCTGGGTGTGCTTTACGGCCCCGCTCCTGCACTGTCGGTAGGGGACTTTGCAGGGTCAGGTTGCAAACCTGCCCTTCACCCCTTCCTTTTCTCTGGGCCTGGGCCCCAAGCAGAGGTCTGTGTGCACTGTTCATGGGGGTGCTCTGCACACAGACCCCGTTCCTCCCGAGCCTCGCACTGCTGCGTCCGAGGGGCCGTGGGCCTGCCAGGAGGGAGAATTCTGTTTCTTTGGGCCAGGGAGGCCCCCGCCCCGGCCCATGGGGCATATGTGTAGCTTCTGGGGCAGCCAGGGGCGTGGGGAAGGTGAAAGCCGCCTGGGGCTGGGGGCCACGAAGGAGGGGCTGGCCGGGGCCTGCTAATCCTGGCCCTAGCACCAAGGTGATGGGCAAAGTCCTCTGCACCCAGAGCCCTGGCGCACTGGGCCAAAGTCCACACGCAGCTGCTCACAAGGCCCCCAGCCTGGGCTCGGTCTGCCCAGGGCACGGCCTATCACCCCCCAGGCCATGGGTGGGCTGAGCCATGGGGCAGGGCAGGCCTGCTGGCGGGGAAGTGGCTCCCTAAGGCACCTCAGGCCTTAGACCAGAACTGTGCCCGCCCTGGGGCCTGGCAGATCACAGGGGCTGCCCTGGAGCGGTGGGGTCCCGGGGGGGGGGGCTGGGGCTGGCTGAGGGGAGGGACAGGGCCTGGGGTTGCGGGGGCAGAGCCTGGGGGGCTGGCCAGGGGGGCTCCAGCCCGGGTGCCGGGGAGAGAGGCAGGGCCTGGGGGGAAGGCGGGGGCTGGCCGGGGGGGCTCCAGCCCAGGTGACGGGGGGAGGGGCAGGGCCCGGGGTTGGGGGGGGCAGGGCCTGGGGGGGAGGCTGGGGCTGGCCGGGGGGGGGGCTAGGGCTGCCCGGGGTTGGGAGGCGGGGGCTGGCCGGGGGGGCTCCAGCCCGGGTGCTGGGGGGGCAGATCTGTCTACACCCCCCCCCGGCCCGACCGCCCCCATTGGCTGCCCTGGAGCCCGCGACCCGCCCTCCCTCGGCCGAGCCAATGAGCACGTGCCCAGCTGGCAGCCGCCCCCCTCCCCGCCCCCCCGTTTGCTGCCTGCCGGGGGTGCGCCGGGCTCAGAGCCGGGCGCCGCCAATGGGGCCCCGCAGGGCGGGGGGGGGGTCACGCCTCGAAGGGCCCCCGCCTGGCCGGGTGTGCGCGGCTCGAGGCCCGTCCCCGCCCCCCAACAGGTAACGGGCAGCCCCCGGCGCGGGACCGGCCCCCTGGACCCGCTGGGGCAGAGTGGGGGGGCGCTGCTGGGGGGGGGGCGCAGCTGCACCCGCTGGGGCGGGGGGGGGGCTTGGAAGGCGCTGGCCAGATCTGCGTTTGCTCCCTCGCAGCGGGCCCCACCAAGTGGGGGGCTGTGGCCCTGTACTGGCCCCCCAGCGCGGCGGGGGTGTACAGCGCACCGCTCCCCCGCGGGGCTGCCCGCTCTTCCCGCCCCAGCGGGGCCCTGGGCCTGCCGCCCTTTCACCCTCGGAGCACGGGCCAGGCGTCACACTGCCCCTGACATGCCTCCCCTCCCCCCCCCAGCACGAAGGGGTTGCCTTCCTCCCCCACCCCGGCTGGCCCCACACATCCTGACCCTCCACCGCAGCCTCATGCAGGAGCGGGTGAGTCTGGGGACGGCAGTGGGAGGGGCTGGCTGCAGCAGCTGAGCTGCCTGGGCTAGTGGGTGGGGGGCAGTCAGAGGGGCTGATGTCCTCAGTGCACTCCCCTCCCCCCCCCCATTGCGGGTGCAGAGGCAGAGAATGGGGCTGCTTTTCGAGTTCCCATAACTTTTCAGTGTTATCCAGCATCCAATCCAAAAACATGAAATCCCAGCAAGGGCCATTCCTCATAGACCCAGAGTCGAATTATGCCCACAGTTGAAATCTTCTAAATACCACGGCTAATGCCCATGTGTCCTTGGCCTAGTCCTGCTCTGGAGAGTGCAGGAAATGTTACACCTCAGGAGGGGGGGTTTGTGCATGTCCCTGTACCTTTTGGCCTTTCGTTAAAGTCTGTAGGGACAGGACAGCCTGAGGGTGTCTGTGCCGTGGAATACATTTCAATATTTGTCACTCTTTGTGGCATGGACCCATTTGAGAAAATTTAATTTTAAACACAGATTTCTGCTCAGCCAGGACCCTCATGAAAAGCGGACATGGTCCGACTGGAATTATTTCTTACTGTCGCTGACTACACTGACAGTACATGTCAAGTCAGGTGCGGTCCCGTTCGTAGAAGGGCTGCAGAAAGTCTTGCAGGAATATATCGTGGGAAGACCACAGTATGCCCAGCGACGTGTACGTAACCCCTCCCTCTAGCTCCTGCCTGGCGAACGCAGCGCCCTTCACCCGCTCTTTGCAGGCCCAGTAATCTGCAGCTCTGTCCCTGCCGTGTCTAGTGCCCTGCTGCTGCGCTTGTCACTGTCACAGCCCCCTGCGTCCGAGCCCACCGCGTCTTCCCTGCAGCCCTGCTCTCACAGCAACTCTGCCCAAAGCTGCTGGAGCAGGCTCTGCACCACCGTGTTAGGAACAAGATGTCCTGCGCTGGCTGTCACCCCTCCGGTCCTGACGGGACCCGTGAAGATGCCAGACTGCAGCATGAGTCCATATGTCTGATCAGCGGCACGTTTCCGGGGCTGCCTGCCGGAGGCCAGTGGTGGTGGCAGTTTCTCGCTTTTGTTCTTCTTAGCAAACCGCTCGTAAGCACGCGACCCAGCGATGGTTGCTTCTTACCCCAGTACAGTGACGACACCAGCGAGACGTAGGCTGAAAAGCAGCAGCTGGCTTGGACTGCAGTTAGCGACCTTCAAATCTTGCCAAGGGCTACTGCTTGGTTCTTGGTTGCCTCTCTGGCTAAGGCCACACAGGGCAGGCAGGCAGGAGCTGGCCTCCTTTGTAAGGCACCCACTGGGGGCAGGGGTGAGCCTGGGTCTGGTTCCTCCTGCTGCCTGACAAGAACGGATTTGAACAGACAACTGCTGTCTCCCAAGTGGGAGCCCGATTTGCTGTGCTAAGGGATGGGCTGATGGCAGTTGCTCGTCTTCTCTTGTTGAAGCTCTTCCACTTTAATTAAATAATAATTGGGTCACAGACCCCATGAAAATCACTTTATACTCCGGGGGGGCTCACCCAGGCTGGGGAGAGTCTGGTTCAAGTGTCACTTGGCCTCCTGGGAGGGGCTTTGAGCAGCCATCTCCCTGCCATGCAAGTGACTGCCCTAATGCGGGGTCTTGAGGTGAGGCTCCCTCAGTCTGGCCTCGTGAAGCTGTTCCACTTTACTTAAATGTTAATTAGGCCAAAACAAAGGGTGCTGTCCTCCTTCATTAAATGTTAATTGGCCTAAAGCATCAGTGCCCAACAAGCCGCCCCCCGGAGGGCAGTGGGGAGGGTATTTGGCTGGGATGTTGGAGAGCTGGGTTCGAGTCTCACTTCTGCTGAGGACAGAGGCATTTGAGCAGCTCTCTGTCACCTCTGCTTAAACTTTGAGCCCCGTAGAACTTGTTCACCCTCCTTTGTCCCCAGGGGCTAGGTTACTCCCCCAGGGGCAGGAGACCCCCGGCCGCATCCCTTGTTGTGTGAAGGGATTTGGACTCGGGCCTCCCACCTCCCAGGCAGCTTCAGAGGGGAACATCCCTGTTCAAACATCCTCCAGAGAAAGCCAGGTTTCAGAGTAACAGCCATGTTAGTCTGTATTCACAAAAAGAAAAGGAGGACTTGTGGCACCTTAGAGACTAACCAATTTATTTGAGCATAAACTTTCGTGAGCTACAGCTTCATCCAATGAAGTGAGCTGTAGGTCACGAAAGCTTATGCTCAAATAAATTGTACAGAGAAAGCCAGAGAGCTACCCTTTGTTGAGACCTGCCCTGGAAGGCCGGGAATCTCCCTGCAAATCCCTTTAACAGGCAGAACCAGGATCCCCCACCGCCTAGACGAGTCCCCAGCCTCTGGACTAGGGCATGAGTCTGACTCCTGGCCCGGCCCAAACACTACTTAAGTAAAGCAGAACAGTTCCATCAGTGCAGCCAAGGGACCCCCCCCATCAGTACAGTCCAGACACCAACGACCAGGCCGAGGGGAAATCGAACCCAGCTCTCTGCCCGCCTGCGTGAGACTCCAAACCCTTGGGCTACAGAGCGAGCACTGGCCCAGTTACTGTGTAATTATTTAATTAGCGGAACTGCTTTAGCAAGAGCAGGAGAGCACCCCACACCCCTTAGCGCTGTGATGAGCAAACCCCGGCTTCAGGGGGAGTGGGGGGAGCTCAGGGTTTCAGCCCCACACTGCTCTCGGCTGCAGGGGGTGGGGCTTGGGGTTTCAGCCCCATGGAGGGGGGCTTCAGCTCTGTGCCACTCCCTGCTTCAGCCCCGTCTGGGGGTACCGGGTCTCGAGGCTTCAGCCCTGCAGGGGGGCACTGAGACTGGGGCACCAGGTTTCAGCAGTGGCATTCCATGGACCCCCTGAAAGGGCTCACGGACCCCCAGTTGAGAACCGCTGATCTAGACCATCCCTGACAGATGTTTGTCTAATCTGCTCTTAACAATTGCCAATGATGGAGATTCCACAACCTTCCTGGGCAATTTATTCCAGTGCTTAACCACCCTGACAGTTGGGAAGTTTTGCCTAATGTCTAAATCTCCATCGCTGCAAATTAAGCCCATTCTTGTCCTGTCCTTTGTGGTTAACAAGAACAATTTATCCTCCTCCTCTTTATAACATTTTACATACCTAAGACTCTTCTGTCCCTTCCTCACGCTTCTCTTCTCCAGCGTGAACCCAGGTTTTTCAATCTTCCCTCACAGCTCATGTGTTCTAGGCCATTAATCATTTCTGTTGCTCTTCTCTGGACTTTCTCCAATTTGTCCACATCTTTCCTGAAATGTGGCGCCCAGAACTGGATACGATACTCCACTGAGCGGAAGAATTACTTCTCGTGTCTTGCTTACAACCCTCCTGCTAATACATCCCAGAATCATGTTCGCTTTTTTTGCAACAGCGTTACACTGTTGACTCACATTTAGCTTGTGGTCCACTATGACCCCAGCTCCCTTTCCGCGGTAGTCATTTCCCATTTTGTATGTGTGCCACTGATTATGCCTTCCTAAGTGGAAGTTTGCATTTGTCCTTATTGAATTTCATCCTCTTGACTTCAGACCATTTCTCCAGTTTGTGCAGATCATTTTGAATTTTAATTCTCTCCTCCAAAGCACTTTCAACCTCTCCCAGCTTGGTATCGTCCACAAACTTTAGAAGTGCACTCTCTATGCCATTCTCTAAATCACTGAACAGAACCGGACCCGGAACAGATCCCTGAGGGACCCCACTCATTCTGCCCTCCCAGAGCCACTGGTAATGACTCTCTGGGAGCGGTTTTCCAGCCAGTTTTGCACCCACCGGAGAGTAGGTCTGTCTAGGCTCTTTCCCTAGTTTGCTTGTGAGGTCACGTGACACTGCACCAAAAACCTCACTAAAGTCGAGATCTACCGGTCCCTGCTCCCCATCCACAAGGCTGTTTCCCTGTCAAAGGAGGCCAGTGGGTTAGTTCAACATGAGTTGTTCTTGACTGATCACGTGATTACCTTCTAGCTGCTTACAAACTGATTATTTGCTCCATTATCTTTCTGAGGCCCACCAATAAGCTGACAGGTCCCTAGCCCCCTGTTTATAGCGAGGTACAGTATTTGCTGATATATCACTTGGGGCTAAATATTTCCCACACTTACCAGACCAGGACTATTCGCACTCCAGACGGACATTGGCAATTGTATTTAGAAGCTTTCTGCCAATTTGGATTTGATGGCATCTGGCCTTTCGTGTGTTTACGGGTTTTCCTGACTGGATGCCCAATATCGTTTAAACGTTACATGATCTAGAAAACCTGCCCCACGGCCAGCCCCTGCATCCCCCCAACTCATTACTAAGACCCCTTGTTAAATCTGGATGGAGCCTGCAATGCCTGTGAGGGGCAGGTCACTTGCCTCTGGCCCCAGCGCCTGGTGCTGGCCGTGAGGGGTGCCATGCTGGCGGAGGCTATGGACGGCTGAGGAAAAGTGGCCAGAGGGTCTGGGTGTGCAGGGTGGCAGGTAGTGTGGGCAGGAGAACACGGCCACGTGGAGTGGGTCTCGGGGCCAGCTGCCAGAAGCTCCCCTAGTGGAGGGGACGTTGATGGAGGAAAGGGATGTGAGTCCCAGTCCAGCTCTCCCCCTGGGCAGTGTGGCCTGGCACCCAGGCCTCCTGCGAGCTGTACCTGGCTCATCCCTTCCCCTCCATAGTAAGGTGGCACTGCCAGCCTGGCAAACAGGGGGGAGTTGGCCCTAGTCTTACAGGGGAACCAGCAGCTGCTCCCCATTGATGACCCCCCACACACACCTTTCTTGCCCCCCAGGCCTTGCTGAAGCGCCCCAGACCCCACCGCTCACTCGCTGTGGAGGGGAAGCCCAGGGCAGCCTGGCGAGCTCCCCATGAGCTAGAAAAGGCCCTGGCGGTGCCCAAGGGAGACCTCCAGCCGTGCTCCAGCAGCAGGAACAGCTCAGGGAGCCCGACACCAGAGCTCCCAGGACCCAGCGTGGCCCTTGGGCACAATCAGGCAGGGGTTGGGGTGACCCTTGAGCCCAGAGGTGACCGGGATCGCCTGGACACAGCGCCACCCTCTGGCCGCTCCCTAAACACCTGTGCCACAGCTGGGCAGCCGTCAGCCCCCCTGCTGCCACCCACAGACACTATACCACAGGCCAGCCCAGCTCCTGGAGGCGTCAGTGGGCCTGGGGCTCTGCCCCCCAACGGTCCAGCACCGCCCGGCAGGGCCCCAGAGCACGCCCCAACTGCAGGAGCGCCCTGGGTGGCTGGGATGCTTGTGTCCCAGCGGGGAGCAGCCCCACACCGTGGCCCAGCAGGGAGCCATGCCGGAAGGGCAGGCCCCACACAGAGGAAGCGGCCTGGGCCGCCAGCGCCCTGACCTTCCCGCTGGTGGTGCCGACACTCGCCGTCCTGTACACCCGGCTCCACCACAAGAGCCAGAGCCTCTATTGGGCCCCAGGCGACGCGGGGCAGGAGCCCCTCTCCGGTGAGTGCCCACAGCCCCCCCCAACCCGCTGAGGGCCACAGCCCCCCCCCCCCCCCTCTAGCGGGGCCTGACCACACTCTGTCTTCTCCAGAGGCGGCTCCTGTCGGCCCACAGCAGACCCAAGAAGGGGCAGCGGCCCCAGCAGCCACGGCTGCTGCTCCAGGGGGCATCGAGTGAGAGCGCCGACAAGCCGGGGGCCAGCTCTGACCGCCCCATCTGGCCCCCGGCCCAGCTCCCCGCACCCGCAGCTCACACTTTCTGCTGAATAAAGTGTTTTAAGGGAGTTGTTGGGTCTGGCTGCTCCTGTGGGGCGGAGGGGCTGCACGAGCAGCAGTTCTGGAGAGCGGCTGCCGGGGCTCCGCTTGCCCCGGGGGGGAGCCGGCAGACAGGGGGGAGCCAGGGCCACAGTCACATCTTTATTTGATCCAAATGTACAGTACACACCTGGCCATACAGGCTCCAGCCAGCCTGGACTCTCCTCCGCCCCTTCCCCAGGCACCCAGCTCCTGTAGGGGATAGGAGGCAACCATGCCCGCCTCGGGTGCCCGCTCCCATGGCACTGGGACTTTGGCTGTAGAGAGAAATCCTGGGGCAGTGGGGGAGGGCCCAGGGGGCATGAGGCGAGGGGCCTGCCCCGGAGCAGCCGTGCAGGGGGAGAGGTGGTGGCTAGCAGGCTGGGGGTCTGAGGCTCACACGCGCAGGAGAACATGCCGGGCGCCAGCCATGGCAGGCTCCGGTTCCAGTGTAATGCTGCAGGCAGTGCCCTCCACGGAACAGGGCTGAGGGCGCAAGGGGTGCGGCTCCTCTGCCCAGCACAAACAGCTACACACACTGTACAGGGGAGGTCGGGGAGAGGCTCCCGGGCAGCACCCTGCTGCCCAGTTAGTGGTTCCTTGGCTGGTGGCGGGTTGGGCCGGGAGAACGGAACGAGGGGCTATGTACAGGGGCACACGCAGCCACGCGCCACGGCTGGGGACAGAACCACTGACCGTCTGGGAGTGGCCACAGGGCGGCGCTGCTGCGTGGGGGAGGGGCTGGGGCAGGGGCACAGCCGGAGCCGTGCTCTGCCCCACGCGGGGACACTGGCAGCGTGGGGGGAGGGGGCACAGCCGGAGCCGTGCTCTGCCCCACGCGGGGACACTGGCAGCGTGGGGGGAGGGGGCACAGCCAGAGCCACGCTCTGCCCCACGCTGGCAGCACGGGGGGCCAGGAATGGCACGTGCTCAGGTCCCGTGGGCAGACTAAGGACACTTGCGCTGGCTGGTCCCCGGCCCCACGTCCTAGCCAGGGGAGCCGCCCGCCGGGGGGGGGACCAGACCTCACAGCTTCTTCTCGCGGGTGGTGATGGTGACCAGCTGCTTGGCGGCCTTGGCGATGTCGTAGGCGCACTGGATGACCTGCTGCGTCAGGAGCTGGTAGTCCACGGGCGCGCCAGGCTCCGGCGGGATGGTCTTGCGGCACTCGCTCTGCAGCCGGTAGGCGCTGGCATTGAGCAGCCGCAGGGAGCCGCGCACTGTCTCCAGGGCTGGCTTCTGCAGCAAGGCAGAGACAGGCCTTTGGGCTCCACTGCCAGGCAGGGGCGCTGGGGGATGGGATGGGGGCGCAACCCAAGGCACACGGCCGCACCTGGGCACAGAACAGGCGTGGCCGGGGAATCAGGCCCCTCTTACCTTGGGGAAGAGCGAGGCCATCTCGGTGACGGCGGAGTGGATCTTCTCGGAGCAGGGTACGAAGCTGGGGAGAAGGCAGAGCCGTTAGGCCTGGCCCAGCCATGGCACTGCACGAGCCCCACCCCCAGTGGGGCGCCAGGTGGCTCCAACTCCCGCACCCAACCCCCAGCCAACAGCAAGTGGAGGAAATGCCCCTAGCAGCAGCTGGGAGCTGGAGCAGCCTGCCCCAACCCCTGGGCACAGCACCTCCCCCCAGCAATGCAGCCACTTCTGGGGGATGGGCAGCCTGAGAGAAACTGAGGCAGAGCTCTTAGACCAACCAGAACTGCAGGGGGTCATGGGCTGGCAGGATCCAGCCCCCAGTCTCTCCCCCACCATGAGGAACTTGGGAACCTGGCCAGGAAAGGGGGGCCCAGCTCTCTAGTGCCTATGGCTCTGAACACCCCCAGCCCCAGTTCAGCCCCTGCCTGGCCCTACCTGTCATGCTTGAACTCCTGGGCAGCCCGCAGCAGCTCCTGGATGTTCTTGGTGACCTGCTCGGTCTTCAGGATCACGTCCTCGGTGCTGGGCAGCCCGGGGTCCAGCTCCCCGTCCAGGGCCTCCAGTTCGTGGTGGAACTCGTCGTCCTTCCCCAGGTCCAGGAACCGCTTCCCGTCCATGCTGCAGGGACGGAGCTGGGTCAGGGGCAGCAGGCCATGAACCGGGGCCATGGGAGGCGTTCACTCGCCAGGAGACCTGCCCCAGGCTGCTCCAGGGCCCTTGCGTCGGGGGCTGGGCACCAACACTGGCTGGGATTCCCAGCGCTCTGCCCGCCAGCATGGGCACTGGGCCTGGAGAGCAGCCAAGTGCACCATGGCCCCGCCCCTCCCCACCAGGCCCCGCCCCTGCCCAGAGCAGCAGCTCCCTGGCCCCGCCCCTCCCACCAGGCCCCGCCCCTGCTCAGAGCAGCAGCTCCCTGGCCCCGCCCCTCCCACCAGGCCCCGCCCCTGCCCTGAGCAGCAGCTCCCTGGCTCCACCCCTCCCCACCAAGCCACGCCCCTCCCCTGAGCAGCAGCTCCCTGGCCCCCCGCCCGGCCATGCCCCTGACCTGAGCAGCGCCTCGCCAGCCTGCGTGTTGTCATAGTCGCTGTCAGTCCCACTGCCGTGCCGGTCTAGCTTGCTGGTCTAGACGGGAGAAGGGGCAGCGTCAGGTGCAGACTCCACCCTCGGCTCCCCACGGGGTCCATGACACCCCTTCCCCCCATTGGTAGGCTCCTGGACCCTCCCCCGCGAGGCTGGGGAACCCCGCAATGGAAGCCTCGTCATGGGGCTCCCTGTACAGAGCCCTCCCCTGCCCCGGGCATAGGGCTGGGATCTGCCCCAGTGTTGGGCACAGGGACAATGCGCCCACCCAGCATTGAGGGCTTAACCCCCACTCCAGTCTGCCCCAGGGCCGGTCCCTCCCCCTCAGTTCAGAGTGAGTACATCACCATGTGGCGGGCGCCGTCCTGCGTGCCAGAGAGCAGCGGGGAGGAGGGGGGGAAGGGCACCGAGGAGGCAGACACCCCCTTCCGGATCTGCAAGAGGACAGGGCGAGTTGGGGCGAGTGGGTACGAAAGGTGCCAGCCCCCCAGAATCACAATTCCAGCCGCTCCCACGGACAGACACCCATTGGCGCGCACGCGGCACGGCTGACTCCCAGGCGATGAGTTCCCCCCGCTCCACAGCGTCCGTCCCAACCAGCTGCACCAAGGCTCCAGCTGGCAGCAGCCCCTCGGGCCCCGCCCCACAAGGGGGGCCCAAGCTAACCCCCACCCAGTGCGTGACTGGGCTGCCCACGCACACCGTGGCAAGAGGGCACCCCCAGGCCGGGCAGCAGGGCTCGAAGCTAAACAGGGGCTTCCCTGGGGGGAGACACGCGCCGGCAGGGCATGCAGACTGCAATGCACGCTTCTCCAGCGCCACAGGGCCAGTGCCGGGGCCGGGGGGGCGCTCGCTTCTCCTGACACAGGCACAGGGGGCCGTGTATCGCACGAATAGCAGGGGGAGCACGACCCCCACAGGAAGCCAGTCCCAGGGTCCCTCCAGCCCCCCCGCCCCCTTACCCGGTACACGCTGGCCGGGATGTGCGTGGAGTACACAGCTTCATCCTCCACCTCCTGGTGACACAGCAAACGTTACCCCCAGGCTGGCGCCCAGCGACCCCCCCAAAGCCCAGGCTGCTGGGCGCTGCCTCACAACAGTGCCCTGCCCCACCACCAGCGGGGCTGCACCAGCCCCCGTGCCCCAGAGTGGTGAGTTGGTCCCACGGGCGCAGAGTCCCCGCAGTCAGCGCCATGCCCAGCACCCTGTCTGGCAGGCAGGCAGAGCACCGAGGTTCAGCCCCCACGTGCCCAGCCTGTCCCCCTCAGATGCCGCCGTGGGGAGTCCAGCTGCCTTGTGGCCACTGACAAGCAGCATCAGCACTCGCTGTGCGGCCCAGCACGGCACAGGCCCCGTTCACACAGAGCTGGGATGAGGACCCAGGAGTCCGGGGGCTGGTCCCTCTGGGCCATGCTGCTGTCAAGAGGGCCCTGATCTCGCAGCTGGGGACCCAGGGGAACCCCTGTTCGGCCCTGCATGCTGGCTGCTCCCCCCAGCACCCGGTGGCAGAGACCTGGAGTGGGAGCCTGAGCCACGGAGCAGGGCGGGGGGCTCCGGGCCCCAGGCAGCAGTGCGCAGAGCTGCAATGCCACCCAGGTGAGGAAAGGGGTGCCCGGGGGTGCTGCAGCAAGGGGACACCCTGGGACAGGCGTGGCCCTGACCCCCCAGGACTCACGCTGGAGTGGAAGGGCTGCAGGCGGCCGACCAGCTCGTCCACGGGCTGTCCGAAGGGCTTGAGAACAGAGCCCGGCTCGTACATGGAGAAGGCCTGTCGGTCGCGCCGGTGAGCTGCTGCCGTGGCCACGCCATGCCCATGCTCCGAGCGCTCACTGGGGGCCGGCACTGCATGCCCGGGGCCCGGCTGCTGCCGCATCTGGGAGTTCTCCGCCTGCAGCTTGTGGATCTGGAGGGATGGAGCAGCGCATGGTGGAGACGCCGGCACCGTGCCCAGACAAAGGCCCCCCGCCCCAGGACCCCACAGACACCCCCCGGCACCGCAGTCATGCCCCTTCCTGCCCCTGGCACCGGGCCCACAGACATGCCCCCTGCCCCTCCCCCACACACCCCTGGCCCCTGCACCAGGCCCACAGACATGCCCCTCCTGCCTCACTCCCAGCCCCACAGACGCCCTCTCATGGCCCTGGGCCCACAGACTTGCACTCTCCTCCCCTGCCAGCACCAGATCAACAGACACCCCCTCCTTCCCAGCCCAAAGACATGCACCCCCAGCACTGGGCCCAGACACACCCACTCTCCCTGGCTCACAGAAATCCCCCTTCCCCCCCAGGACATGCCCCCTCCTGCCCCAGCACTGGCCCCACAGACACGCTCCCTTAGCGGGATTGACCCCAACTGGGGGTGTCAGGCCGGGGCCACCTTGGCACCTAAGTCCCCTGTAAGCTGCGTGGCCCCCACCTAGCCCAGCCCCCCACCTGCCGTGGCTGGGGCACCCTCCCCCCAGCCCCAACTCTGCCGTGGCCCAGACCTGCCGAGGCCGGGGTGACCCGGCCTGGCCCCAAGTGTGACAGGCCCAGCCCAGCCCAGGCGCTGCAGCACGGAGAGCGCGCCGGGGGGGAGTCCTCTCTCCTCGCCGGAGCCCCCTCCTGCCCCCCAAACCCGGAGCCCTCACCCCCGCACCCACGCCGAACCCCTCGGCCCCACCCCCGCCACAGACCAAAATTCACTCCGCACACGGGCGGGAAGCCGGCGGGACGGTGCCCAGCACTAACCTCACGCTGCAGCCGGTGCAGCTCGTCGCTCAGGCTGCTGTTCACCTTCATCAGCTGCTGCACCTTGGCCTCAGAGGCTGCCAGCGCCTTCTTCACCTCCAGGTACTCCTGCAGCGTGAGGGGCCCGTCCGACAGGTCCGAGGAGTCCATGCTCTGCGGGGAGAGCGGCTGAGCAGGGGGCCCGCGCCGGCCACCGCCCCCGGCCCGCGCCGGCCACCGCCCCCGGCCGCAGCGCCCGGCACGCCCCGGCCTGGCCCCAGCCACTCTGCCCCTCAGCCATGGTGCCCAGTCCTGGCCCTCGCCTTGTGCACCACACTGGCACCGGAGGCCACCTGCCAAATGGGGCCTGTCCAGGAGCAGGGCCATGGCACAGCAGGCACCCACCAGCTCCTCCCCCCAGGACCCGAGCTGCAGTGGCTTTGCCCGCCCCACGGGTATCCTGAGGGCAGCAGGGAGCAGGGTCCCCAGTGCCATCCCTGGCTCCAGGCATCCCGTGCCTGCCCACAGCCCCCTCCAGAGCTCACCACCCAGTGGCCCAGGTCCAGGCAGGAGCCAGGAAGAGAAGAGGCCAGGAACCTGGGCCCAGCAGCTGCCCCAGCTCGGACCCACCAGGACACCTAGAGATGACCCAGCTTCCTTTCCCGAGCAGCGGGAAGGAGCCCCTGGGGAGACTGATTCACGGTGTTGATACACTAGCTGGGGCTGCTCGGGGGTCAGGGTGGGTGGGGACCCCAGGGCTGGGGTAGCAGGGGGCTGCGGGGGAGTGGGACATTGCACTCCATATGATTCTATGAAAATATGCTAATGAGTGTTAATATGATGTAACTGGAATATGCTTCATGCAAAAGGTGTCTTGTAAGGAATCATTACAAAGCTTATAATCTACTGAGTGTGGTTATCATATTTGTATGAATGTATCATTCTTGTATCTGAAACTAGAAATATGAAATTTAACTCTGAGGTCCTATTGTAATTATGCAAAGTGTGGGCCATTCATGGTGGTTTGCAATCTTGAGGGCTCCCATCAACCAGGACAATTGACTATGGATGGCTCTGTTTGCAGGCAGGCCTTCCTGTGAGCCAGGCTGGGAAGAATGAAGGCTTGGGGGGTCGCACAGGACATGTGACCATGTCACCTGGTACTGGAATCCATCTTAAACCTGGTGCTTTTCCATTCAGGAGGAGGGGTGGGGACCCAGAGAGTCAAAAGATTCCCGCCTTGTGCCAAAGCTATTTTAGGGGTGGAACAGAACAAAGGGGGCTGCAGTCATGAGAAATCCCCGAGCTACCACCTGAGATGAAACAAGGACTGCACCAGGGGGAAGGATTGGACCCAGACTAGGAAGGAGTCTAGTCTGTGAAAGAAGATTATTGGAACATCTCTGAGGGTGAGATTTCATCTGTATTCAGTTTCCTACTGTATTAGGCTTAGACTTGTGTGGTTTTGTTTTATTTTGCTTGGTAATTTACTTTGTTCTGTCTGTTATTACTTGGAACCACTTAAATCCTATTTTTTATACTTAATAAAATCACTTTTTACTTACTAATTAACCCAGAGCAAGTAATTAATACCTGGGTGAGCAAACAGCTGTGCAGGTCTCTCTCTCAGTGTTCTAGAGGGCGAACAATTTATGAGTTTACCCTGGATAAGCTTTATACAGAGTAAAACTGATTTATTTGGGGTTTGGACCCCATTGGGAACTGGGTGTCTGGGTGCTGGAGACAGGATCACTTCTTAAGCGGTTTTCAGGTAACGTGCAGCTTTTGGGGGACGTGGTTCAGACCTGGGCTGTGTTTGCAGCAGGCTGGCGTGTCTGGCTCAACAAGACAGGGTACTGCAGTCCCAAGGTGCCAGGGAAAATGGGCTCGGGGTAGTCTCAACACATCAGGTGACAGTACCAAGGGGTCTCTGCGACCCAACCCGTCACAGGGAGCCCAGAGCTGGGCTCGCAGGGGGCTGCGGGGCGGATGGTAGGGGTGCCCGGGGGGCAGCACGGGGGCTCACCCGGGCACGGTTGTTGCGGGCAGCACTGCGCAGCGGCTCCTGGTCCGTGTCCTCGTCAGAGGCAACACTGTCGTAGTCGTGCTGGTCGTCTGGGTCACTCTGGCTCCGCACCGGGTAGTCGACGGCGTCTGTGGGAAGACGAGGGTCTCGGTGTCTCAGCACCCACAATGCACTGGGGCAGGGAGCCACAGCCAGCCAATGCCAGCCCAGTGCTGGGGCACCACAGTCATGCTGCCCCCCAGCCGGGTTGCCATGTCGAGGAGAAAGCCTCTGCCCAGTCTGCCTCTCCCCCCCGGGCAGCTGGGACGCCATCATCCTCCCTGGCCTCCCCCTCCCCGTGGGGGTCTCCCCCCTTCCCCCACTCACCTGTGGGGCTCACCAGGCTCTTGCCCTGCTGCCGTCGCTTGGCCTCGCTGAGGATGTCGATGATGAGGGTGGCAAACTCCCTGGCATTGAACCGGGCAAGCTTCTGCCGCCCCTGGCGGAGGAAGAGTGGGTGAGACGGGCTGCAGCACCTCTGGGGCCCGCCGCTCTGTTGCCCTGGCCAGATGCCCTGCACCGAGCACCCAGGGCAGCCTCAAGCAGGGCTGGTCAGGCTGATCCGGGGGCAAGACAGCGAGCACACCCGCACTGCCTGAAGGGGCTGTGGGTCGGGAGTGAGGGGCACTGCAGAGCTGTGAAAGGGGGAGCCCAGGGCAGGCAGAGGGGGGCACTGCAGAGCTGGGATCATGCAAAGGGGACCCTCTGAGCCCCTTGGCCCAAGGCCTGGGCCCCCAGACCCAGGGGCACGGGGGAGGTGCCAGGCCCTAGGAGTTGGGGTTGGTGTGACCCTTATCCCGGTCAGGGGCAGGGAGCGCCAGCCAGAGCGGGGAGCGGCATACCTGGTTGCGCGTGGCGGAGTACTCGGGGTTGACGGGCAGGAAGGGCACAGCGCTGCGCTCTGTCACCAGCGTGCTGTGATTCTGCGTCGTGAGCCAGACTGCAGGGAGCAGACGGGCAGCGGTTACCGGGCACCTCGATGCCCCTGCCCCCACCCACACTCACCCGGGACGCAGGCCCAGCCCCACGGGAGCTTGACACACTGGACGGCAGCACTGGGGGGAAACAGACCCAGAGAAGGCCCGGACCAGCCCAGGCAGCGAGCCAGGGATAGAGCAGGGTTTGAACCCAGGAGTCCTGGTGACCTCGCTATCTCTCCCGGCACTCCCAGTCCCTCCAGAGAGCCCCGCAGCCAGCCCCAGAGCTGGCCCATCCAGGCTGCTCTCGCGCACCCCCCTGGGGTGGGCTCAGGCACCCCCCACCCCCTCCTGCCAACTAGGAGCACCCATGCAGCTGGGGGCATCCCCAGAACGGCAGGAGCCCCCAGCACAGGGAAGGGGAAGCCCCACTGCTGAGTCAGGCAAATGCAAGGCCCCAGTGCCAGGGGCATCTGGAGCCTGGGCCAGCTTGCCCAGAGATGGGCTCCCCCCTCTCTGCCTGCAGGGGGCTGGACCCCTCCAAAGAAGCCACTGAGAGCTGGGCTGGGACTCGCTGCACGGCCGGGAAGGAGCCCCGGGGTACAGGCTGCTGGCTCAGCCCCCAGCCACGGCCCAGAGAGGGCAGCGCACGCCCCACAGCCGCTCGCGGAGCAGAGGGAGGAGCGGGCACTCCCGGTAGCCTGGGCACGGCTCCAGTCTGGCACGAGCCATGCAGCGATGTGGCAGCACCATCGGGACAATGCCAAACCCCGAGCGTGAGCTCTGGCCGGCTGCTCCAAGCACGGCCCCACGGCAGCCCAGCCAGGCTGGGGGCTCACTGCACCCCTCTCCCGGACACCCCGCGGAACAGCTCTGCTCAGAGCCCAGCGCCCGTCCGCCCCGGGTGCCTGTGGGCACAGCTGTGCTGTTGGGAAGCTGGGGGTGGGGGGGGGAGCGCGGCCCAGCCGACAGCCCTGCCCCATGGCAGTCGGCCCTGAGCATAGAGCAGCAGCCAGGGCTCTTCCGCTGGGCGGTGCCAGCGGCCTCCATCCGGGCAATCGCCTGCAGGGCACCCTGTGCCACCCCCCCCCCCCGCCCCGAGGGAGACAGGCTCCCGGGGACCATGCGGGGCAAGGGCAGGAGCTCCGCCCTGGAGAGACCAGCCAGCCGCAAGCCCGAACCCAGAAATGCTCCCAGCCTCCCCCCACCTCCTCACCCCGCCAGACACCCGCCCACCCCAGCGGCTGCTCCCAGCCCCCGGCCAGGGTCCTGCCGGCTGGGGCCTCCCGGGGGAAGGATCAGCAGGGGTGCAGCCAGCCACTCCCCGCGCGGGACCCCCCCCAGACCCACCTCGAGTGCTGCCCAACGGCTGCCCGGCCCCCGCGGCCCTGCGCAGCCCACGGCCTGTTGAAGGAACTCCAGCAAGGAGCCCCCCTGTCCAGCCCAGCCGGCAGGCGGGCGTCAGCGGCTGCCAAGGAATGAGGAGGGCGGGCCCAGCTGCCGGCTGCGGGGCGGAGGGAGCCAGCTGCTCTGTGTCTGAGCCACATCCCCAGCCAGGCCCCAGCAGCGCCCGCCTCCCCCGCGCCCGGGAAGGGCCGGCCCCACCGCTGCGCAGCAGCGACCCTGGCTGGCTTGTGGCACCCTGCGCCGGGTGCTGGCACCATGGCCTGCCCTATCCAGTTCCGGGCCCTCCAGCGCCCGACCCTGTCACAGCACCCCAGCCAGCTCCCGATCCCCACCGCCGGCTGCTCACACAGCGGAGCTGTCGGCCAGGAGCAGCGCTGGGCTCCCCCACGCAAGCCAGCGGGCACTGGGGGCTGCACGGGGCAGGGATCCCTGTGGACACTTGGTCCTGACGGAGGCATTTTGTACCAGCCTTGCCCTCTCCGGTCACTGGTGCCCAGCCCAGCACCTCTGCCCCCGCCAGCGCACACCAGGCCGGGGAGGGGCGGATGGTCTCTGGGGCCCGCTGGCACCACCTGGGCAGACCGCTCTGTGACGGGGCCCCGCACTGTGACCCCCAAGCTCAGGGCAGCAGCATCTGTAGCTACATCACAGCTGTAGCCCCCCAAAGCGCCCCCAGCCGAGTGACCCTGGAAGCCGGGGGCAGCACCAGGCCCAGCTGGGCACGTCTTGGGGCTGCGCTGGCAGCGTTCCAGGCCAGACTCAGCCGGGCGAAGCCCTGGGCACTGGGATCCTGCTACCCAGACACCGAGGGATCCCCGCCTGCGCCTGGCAGAGCCGCCGCCCCCTTGGGAGCCCAACGGCCAGGCAGAGCCGAGGAATCTGCCAGCCGGCCATGCTGTGCCAGGGAGGCGGCCGGGGGAGTGTCTTCTGGTGAATCGAGCCTGGGGTCTGTTCCCAGCTCCGCTATGGGGGCACCTGGGGATAGACCCACCCCGATGGACACCTCTGCTCCCCTCTGCCCTGCCAAGCACCGAGTCCAGCACGCGAGAGCGCTGGGGGGCAGCTTTCTCCCCAAGTGCCCAGGGCTGCGCCACGCACAGTACACGCCTGCCCCCGGGAGATCCCAGAGCCGCACGCCCCCTGCACCAGCCAGCCAGGGACAGCAAGGCCCTGCCCTTGGGACAGGAACGACAGGGCTGGGGCTGACAGCCAGACCTGAGCTGGGCTGGGCGTGGGGGGGGATGAGGAGTCTGGGCACTCCCTGACACTGGCTTCCATAGGGAGTGGGCACCTCAGCACCCATAGGAGCAGCCCCACACATGGCACCCCAGGGCCCAGGCTACAGCATGGGGGGGCTCCTAGCTGGGAACAGAGCCTGGGCCAAACCCATCCCTGGCTCCCCAAAGCCCCATCCCCCCAAAACACAGCGCCAGCATCATTCCACCCCCCTTCCCCAGCATTGCCCCACCCCCGGCCTGGCATCGCCTGCCCCCCCAATGCACCGGCATCACCCCCCTCCCCTGGCATCACCCATTTGCTCCCACCCCAGCATCGCCCGCCTTCCCTGATGCACCACCATCGTTCACCCTCTGCCCCCACACTGGCTTCACCCCCGCCCTGGCATCGCCCATCCCCCAATGCACCGGCATTACCCCCCGCCCTGGCATCACCCACCGCCCCCCCCCCCACGCACCAGCGTCGTTCTCCCTGCGGTCCACCTCGTCATACACGTCCATGGCCAGCTCCTCGAAGAGGCGGTTGCTGAGCTGGAAGCAGAGATGGGCGGGTCACGGGAGGTGGGGGCAATATGGGGGGGTGGAGTCGGAGCAGCCCCTCGGCTCGGCAAGCTCCAGCCCCCTCGGCAGCAGGGCCCCATGGGGGGTGGGGGGTTCCCAGGGGTTGGGATCAGCCCTGTTCCAGGGCAGCTGGTCTGCAAGAGGTGGCTGCTGCAGGCCAGACCAGGCCTGCCCCCAGCCCCACAGCGGGGCCCAGCCCCCAGCCCCACTTACCGCCTGTAACTTCTTCTTCGCCACTTTCGCCAGCTCAGACAGGTCCAGGCTGCACATGGCCGGGGCGGGGGGAGACAAAGCAAGAGGGGTCACTGCTGGGCCGTGCCCCCTGCCAGCTGACGCCCCACAAACCCCACAGGCAATGGGGTGAGCCGCATGGCCATAGATGGCATTCAGCTCACCTAGCCACGACATACTGACCAGGCACCGTGGTGAATGGCTAGTCCTGGGGCACAGGCAGGGCGATGTGGATCAGGAAAGGAATAGCAGGGGGCTGTGGGTCGGAAGTGAGGGGCACCGGCCGGGCTGTGCATGGGTGGGGGATCCCAGGGTTGGGAGAGCAGAGGGCTGCAGGTCGGGAGAGAGGGTCACCGGCAGGGCTGTGGGTAGGTGGGAGGGTCCCAGGACTGGGCTAGCAGGGGGCTGTGGGTTGGGAGTGAGGGGGACCAGCAGGGCTGTGGGTAGGTGTGGGGGGGTCCCAGGGCTGGGCTAGCAGGGGGCTGCAGGTCGGGAGTGAGGAGGACCGGCCGGGCTGTGGGTGGGTGGGGAGCCCACACCATGCCCCCTGCTCTCCCCCTCTATCAATCCCTTCCTGCCACTATACAGACTGAACCAGCTGGGGGCACGTTAAGGCCAGAGCCAGCGGCAGGGGCCGCCCAGCCGGGTCCCAGCGGCGTGGGGCGCGTCGCACCCGGACACTAGAGACAAGAGTGGAGGGGACAATACCTCTGCGCCGTGCCCTTGGGGCGCGCCCTGCACTCCGGAGAAGGCAGCGGAGGGGAGAACAGGATAAAGGAGGGCATTAAACGCAGTCAGAGCAGGAGTGGCATGCCACGCCCACAGCCACGCCCACAACAGGCATGGTCACGCCCACACCCGCCATGCCTGCCCTGCCCCACAGCCCCCAGGCAGCGCTCTCACAGGCAGACACAGGGGCATACAGCCACCAGTCTGCCCCACGGGCAGCGCCCATGCCAGGGACCACTCAAGAGACACACACAGGGGAGCAGAGTGGCAGGCTTGGCACTGGCCACGGGAACCAGAAAAGGGGGCACTGGGTACGGGGGGCCCGCAGGGGCCCCCTTCTCCTCCAGCGCTCCCTACAGGCGAGTCCAGCGCCTACCCCAGCTGCAGCCCTGCCAGGAGGCCCTGGGCCCTCTGCCTCCCCGCGAGGAGGCTCCAGGCCCCAGTCCATGGGGAGCTGGACCGTCCCTGCCACAGTCCAGCACTTGCCAGCCCCTAGGCGCTGGGGGGGGGGGGCATGATGCTGCTGCGTCTCCTGTGCACAGGGGCTGGGTCGTTCCGGCAGCATGGGGGTGTTGGCAATGCCCCTTGGCAGGACCCCAGTGGGGCCAAGGCCTGGGGCACCGTGGAGACCGAGTGTCCCCGTGCCAGGGCAGGGCACTCAGGGGCAGGGGAGCCAGGTCCCAGACTGTCGACCCGACCCAGCATGCACCGAAGGTGCGGGCTAGCGGAGGAGGGGAGACCCATGCTGCTGCCCCCTCCCCACCCCGTGCGGCTCAGGCCCCTCGGCGGCTGAGTTGATCAGTGGGAGCACGGTGCAATTCCGGCAGTGCCCACAGGGTGGCGGCATTTCCACCCTCACATGTGGGGGAGTCTCCCAGCAGCGGGGCGGGCGGGCGGGCGCTCACCTGTCTGCCATCTGCGGGATGATGTAGTGCCCATTCTTGTGGTCTGGAAAAACAACGGGACCGACGGTTAGCTGGGCGCTGCTGGCCCGGAGGCAGAGCCCCCCACCCCCAGCTCCAGCAAGAGCCCCCCATGGGCCCCATGCCAGCCCCACACGCAGCACCCGCCTACCCCACTGCTCACTGTGCCCCAGCGACACCCGACACCCCCCCCGGCTCGCATCCCTCCCCTTCCTCCCCCTGCTCACATCCTTCCCTGGGGCGTGGCCCCCTCCCCCCCAGCTCTCTGCCTGCCCAGGTCTCCCCCCGGCCCCTGCACTCACCCGGCTTGCGGCCGCACAGGTAGAAAGCAAGCCGGTCCGTCAGCTCGTACTGACACTCCACCAGCCGGTCCGCGAGCTCGTGCTGGGCTGCCTGCCTGCAGGGGGAGGGCAGAAGTCAGACCAGGAGCAGGGCAGCCAAGCGTCCGCAGGTCGCCCGCTGCGGGCACTGGCTCAGCTGCTTTGCGCTTGGTGTAAGGCTGTGGCCGGCAGAGGCTCCAGGCTCCAGCAACCCACGCGGACGCCCCTGCACTGCCCTTGGGCTGCTGTAACCACTGGACAGGGTCCGTGCGAAACCTCTCCAGGGCAGCCAGCCGGGGTCCCACTGCCAGGCAGCCTCTGGCACTCACCGGGCGTAGTCGATGGGGGTCCTGCCGTTCACATCGGGTGCCCCAGGGTCGGCACCGTACACCACCAGCAGCTCAGCCTGCAGGATCTGTCCAGCCTTGGCAGCAACGTGCAGTGGGGTGGTGCCCTTCTCCTAGGGCAGGGCAAGGGAGAGTCAGACAAGGGCAACTGGCACATCGCACCAAACCACAAGAAGGGCACCAGGACCGGGCTAGCAGGGGGCTGCGGGTCAGGTGTGAGGGGCAACGGGGCTGGGAACAGCAGGGGGCTGCAGGTTGGGAGTGAGGGGCACCGGGGCTGGGAATAGCAGGGGGCTGCGGGTCAGGAGTGAGCTGTCCCATTGCCAATGAAAATGGAAACCACAGGGTGCCTGGCTCTGAGGGCCCCCTCACTGGCCGCTCTCTTTCTAGGGAGCCTCCCCCAGGCCCCACATGGTCACGGGTCTCTGTCCCTGCCGGAGCAGCCATAGCGCTGGGCACTAGCGGGCAGTGCGGCACCGGACTAGAGATTGGCCTGGCCTGGGGCTGGCGTCGGGCCTGAGACAAGGTGCCCCCTGCTGCAACAGTGAACCGGGAACCCCAGCACCATGCCAAGCTTCTGCCCCCCTGGCGCCCAGGCCTGCCCTAGCCACCTGGTGGAGGGGTCTCAAACACTCGGCCCGCAGGATTATTTCCTGCAGCCCGCCAAGCTCCCCACCCCATGCTCCCCCTCCCCACAGCATGCCATGTCCCCACTCCTCTGCTTACCTCCAGGCACTTCCTGCAGCCAAACAGCTGTTCGGCGGCACTTAGCACATCCCAGGAGGGAGTGGGGAGGAGCGGGGAGCCCTGCGCTCAGGGGAGGAGGTGAAGAAGAGGCGGGGCCGGGGCAGGGATTTGAGGAAGGAGTTGGAATATGAGCAGGGAGGGGGCAGAGTTGCGGTGGGGACTTTGGGGAAGGGGTTGGAATGGGGACGGGGAAGGAGTGGGAAGAGGCAGGGCAGGGGCTGGGCAGGTCAGTGGTGCAGCCCTCGGGCCGACGTACTAGTCCTCACGTGGCCCTCGTGGTGATTCGAGTTTGAGATCCCTTAGTGCCAGCACAGGAACGGAAACCTGGCATCACCACAACCCCCCTGGCCAGACCTCTGCTGCCCTCCTGAGCCACCCCGGCCCAGAGCCCGCGCCCCTTCCCCTCCCCGCTGCAGGGCAGAGGCACCCGGCCAGGCCTCACCGGGTGGAAGAAGCTGGGCTGGGCGCCCAGTGAGAGCAGGCGCAGGCAGGTCTCCAGGTTCCCCGTCCGCACACTCGAGTGCAGTTGCTAGAGGAGACAGAGCGGAGCGTCAGCTGCCCTCCCATCCCACCGGCCTTCTGGGAACCTGCCGGACCGCCCCGGGGCATGGCACCCACCCCCGCCTGGCCCCAGAGAGGAGCCCTGGGAGGGGCTGGGGTAGGGGAGGGTCTCAGGGCCTGGAACAGCACCTGCCTCGCTTGGAGGGGCAGGGCCGGGCAGCGAATGGCACTTGGGATTCGGGCCCGCTGGTTGCTCCATGCCGAGCCGGGGTGAGGAGAAAACCTGGCACCCCCCAGCCCGCTGACGGGCTGCCCCAGCCCAGGGCCCAGCAGGGCTTGGCTCTGTTCACAGCAGCAGCTGCCCTCGGATGGTCTCAGTGAGGGAAACCCACATGCACAAGGGGGCAGCCCCAGGCACCCTCATAACACTGCATGACTCGAACCTGGGCCCACTGGTGCCCAACGCATGAGTCTCCAGTGCCAGTCCCACCCCAGCGCCCACTGGAGGGCACCAAGGACCCCTGCCCCCAACAGTGCCCAGCACGGCGGGCTAGAGGGGTGGACATTTTCCCACCACAGCTGGGCATTCCCCTTTGGGATCCAGCCCCGGTGCTCAGCACTACCCCACTAGGGCACCGCACCCCCAGGCCCCCCGGTGCCACGCCTGCTGCTCGGGCCCCTACCTTGCTGAGGTCCTTGGCCGTGACGCCGTCGTCATCACGGCAGGGCAGCTTGTGCACGAAGGCCAGCATCTGGTACTTGGCCCGGATGAACTCGGACTTGGTGGGGCTGGGGAGAGAGGGGACAGGGTGAGACCGCGCCGGGCTAGCCCCTCCCCGCCCCCCCGGGGGGGACACTTACTGCACTTTGTCCTGAGGATTGGCCTTGCGGCGCCCGCTCTGCACCTGCGCCGGGTCCAGCAGCGAGTGCTCCCAGATGGAGTTGGCACCGTTGCTGGCCAGAGTGTGCACCATCTGGGGAGAGACGCACCGGCTCAGCACCGCTTCCACCACGCACCCCCTGGCCCTCAGAGCTGCCGCCGGAGAGCCAGGGCTGGGCTGGCAGGGGCCGCGGGGCGGGAGGGAGGGGCGCCAGGGCTGGGCTGGCAGGGGCCGCGGGGCGCCAGGGCGGGAGGGGCGGGGAGGGGCGCCAGGGCTGGGCGGGCAGGGGCCGCGGGGGCGGGAGGGGCGCCAGGGCTGGGCGGGCAGGGGCGGGAGGGAGGGAGGGGCGCCAGGGCTGGGCGGGCAGGGGCCGCGGGGCGGGAGGGAGGGGCGCCAGGGCTGGGCGGGGGCGGGGCGGGGGGGGGCCAGGGCTGGGCGGGCAGGGGCCGCGGGGCGGGAGGGAGGGGCGCCAGGGCTGGGCGGGCAGGGGCCGCGGGGCGGGAGGGAGGGGCGCCAGGGCTGGGCGGGCAGGGGCCGCGGGGCGGGAGGGAGGGGCGCCAGGGCTGGGCGGGCAGGGGCCGCGGGGCGGGAGGGAGGGGCGCCAGGGCTGGGCGGGCAGGGGCCGCGGGGCGGGAGGGGGAGGGCGCCAGGGCTGGGCGGGCAGGGGCCCGGGCGGGGGGGGGCCGCGGGGCGGGAGTGAAGGGCGCCAGGGCTGGGCGGGCAGGGGCCGCGGGGCGGGTGTGAGGGGCGCCAGGGCTGGGCGGGCAGGGGCCGCGGGGCGGGAGGGAGGGGCGCCAGGGCTGGGCTAGCAGGGCGGGTTACACAATAAAAATAACTTGAACCAAACCCCAGCAGCGGGAAGGTGGGGGAGGGGCGTTCAGGCCAGCAAGCCGTGGGCACGAACCCACTGGCGAGGCAGGGCCGGCAGTCCGGGAGGGGACCAGTCGCGGCTGCTGGAACGCGGAATAATCCCAGCACCAGCCCCACCAACCTGCCGCTCCCAGAGACGCTGCATCAGGCAGCGCACCCACGGGCAGTGCCAGGCAGGGGGAGCCGCACAGACCCCCAGCGCCCCTCTCCCCGCCCATGGGGCTCGGGGTGCCCCCCCGGGCGCTGCCCGCACCCACCTGCAGCAGCGGGGAGGGCCAGGGGCTGTGGCGCAGGTGCTTGACGATGGAGATGTGCCGGCCCAGGCTGCGGTGGATGCTGCAGCATTCGTCGCAGATCAGCACGCCGCGGTTAATGGAGGCCCAGCCAGGGTCTGCAGGGGCAGGAGATGGGTCAGACGCCCCTCCTGCAGGCCTGGCACACGCCAGTACCACAGCCCCCACCGGGGGCACCTGCCAAGGGCTCGGTGGCTGGCCCAGCCTGGCAGGAGGGGACCTTCCTCATGAGCGCTTGGGCCCTCGCCCCAAAGGTGAGGAGACCCAGGGTGGGCACCGGGAAAATGCCAGCTGGGCACTCGGCCACAAAGGCCTAGAGCACTCCAGACAAGCTGGTGAGTAAGGGATAAATGCCCTGGCTCTGAGAGGGGGGTGGGTTAGAGCGGGGGGCCTGGGAGCCAGGACTCCTGGGTTCTATCCCAGCTCTGGGGGGGAGCGGGGTCTGGTGGTTAGAGCAGAGGGACTGGGAGCCAGGACTCCTGGGTTCTACCCAGCTCTCACACTGACTCAGTGTGTGACCGGGGACAAGTCCCATCTCAATGCGAGGTTTAATTAGGGTTTGTGAAGCACCGAGGGACTCACAGCAGGCTCCAGATCCCCAGGGTGGGTGGCCAGCAGCCAGAGCAGAGCCCCGACCCCCGGAGCTGGAGCAGGCCCAGGGGGCAGCTGCTTGGGGCGTGTCACTCTGGGGTGGCACAAGTGCAGCGAATGGGCGGGGGGCCCCCAGGGGGCTCCAGCGGACAGAGCGTGGGAGAAGCTGGAGCATATGCCAGCGGGGGAGCACCGACGCCCCTCCCCCAGGTGCAGAGCCCAGACAGCCCCAGGCACTGTCCCCCCCCACCCCAACCCCCGTGCTGCTCTGCTATTCGCCTCCAGGGGCGCCTACCCCTCCCACCCTGCTGTCTGGGGGTGTCAGTCACCCGTCCCTGCCCAGAGCTTCCCAGGGCCCATCTGGCTGCTCCCCGCCATCGGCTGCCATGGGGACGGTTGCTAAGGTTTCCCTAGCTACAGCTAAGGGGCTCAGGCGTAGCTAGGGAAACCCTAAGGTTTCCCCTAGCAACCTGGCTCCAGGCCTGGGGCGGCCTGGGAGCAGGGACTGTTCATCCTGCCCAGGGCCCGCTCCCATGCGGGGGCCAGGCTGAGCCATGCCTAGCCCAGCCGGGGGGCAGGGCAGGCACGGTGCCAGGCAGGGAGCAGCGTGGGTCTGCAGGGGCGTCAGGCCCGGGAAGGGGGGCACTGGCTTGGGTTCTGCAGGCCCGGGGGACGAGCCCTGCGCACCCACCAGTGGGCACAGCGGGCACCCACCCATGGCCAAGCCGAGCAGAAGGTGCCAGCCCCAGGGCAGCACTCGGCTGGGGCTCCCCGCTGGCTCAGACAGGCCTCGGGTTTTCCACCATCACTTCCAGGAGCCTCCCTGGAAGGCCGACCCTGCCGGGGCCCCGGGGGGGTGCGGTGGAGGGCAGAGAGCAGCCCCCGCTGCCCGACCCCAGTGCACAGCCAGGCTCCCCGAGCTGCATGGCCACAGGAATTATATACTCACCAGCCATCCCCGGGGGCACGGAGGGGCTGAGTGCGCATTCAGGGACATCCACGCAGCCCGCCAGCCACCAAGCAGGAGCAGCCCAGTGCCCCCTGGGCACAGCTGGCACCGCCTGGGACAGGCCCCCCATGCCCACTGTGGCCCATCCCCTCAAACCAGCCACTTGGCTACTGGTGCCTAGTCACAGGCCAGGGCTCAGAGCCGCTCCGGTCGAGCACCTGCCCAGGTTAAATCCAAGGGGCTGCTGCAGTCGCAGCCCCCCAGGAGCTATGTGCTCTCAGCCCCCCCCCCCCCCCCCAAGCTGCCTGCTTCCCCCTCCCTGCCCCGCCAGGGGGCTCAGGGCAGAGACACATCTGGCTGCAAGGTCGTGGCGGGCACAGGGATTGCTGGGAGCCCCTGCCCCGTTCTCAGGGCCCGTATTCTCCATGGACACATTGGGGTGACCCCCCACTCGGCGCACACGGTACCCCCCGGGGCAGACGAGTGACTCACTGAACTCATGCCCCTCACAGCAGACGGGGGGAGCGCTCCCAGTCGGGCCTGCACCCCAATCCCAGAGCAGCTCTGCCAGCTCAGAGCGCAGCCGGCTTCACGCCCTCCCCCACCCGGCAGCCTCCCACACACAGAGCTATTCCCGGCTCCTCGCCCACGTGTCGCTCCCTCAGGGCCGCGCCAGGTGCCAGGGGGCCCCCAGGCAGCATCAGCATCACAGAGCGGTGTGGGGAGCCCTGGGTGCGGGACGCAGCGCACTGGGGGAGCTCTCAGCAGCTGGAGAGAGGGGATGGCTCCCAGCCCTGTGCTCGGACCCCGGTACCTGCTTTTTGTGGGCAAAGAAACCCGCCTCGCCCCTGCCCCCAGGGAATACACGGGGAGGAACGGGCCAGCAGCCCGGCCCCTGGGATCAGCTCCACCCCACAGAGCTCTGCCCGGGCGTGCCGATGGCCAGCAGCAGTAGTATTCCCGTGTGCCTGGCGCACATGGCACCAGGCTCCCAGCTGTGCCCGACCACCCCCCAGCAGGCCAGCCCCGAGGCCCAGGCTCAGCGCACCTCGGCTGGACAGCCGGGGTAACCCAGTGCCTGGGAGCCAAGCGCCCACCGCTCCGCCAGCTGCCAGGGGAGGCCAGCGGGCGGGGGCCACGGAGCAGACAGCCCGCCCCAGGGTGCTGTACCACTGCCCCTTCCCAGGGGAACAGCCCCATTGCCCCCTCCTGCCCCTGCCCCACCCCAGAGCCTTCCCGTGCCACGCTCGCCCCACGGCCCGCATGGGAACACCAGCCCCTCCCCCAGCCCAGCCGGAACGGAGCACTCGGCCCGAGAACAAAAGGCCACTTGAGATGCCGTGCACTGCGGCTCAGAGCCCACTCCCCTGCCCCCGCTCGGAGGGGCACACGGCCCGCGCCACGGGGAGCCCAGCCTGGCTGCAGGGAGCACCCGCCCCAGCTCTCTCACACGCGGCAGGGCCGGGCATCAGCTCCGGCAGGCACCCCCCGGGGCAGGGCAGGGCACGAGCAGGGTGGCCCAGCATGGGCACCGAGCATACAGCTGCTCCCCCAGGGTCCACGGTGCTGTGCACTGCCCCACTGAGCCAGGCCTAGGGTGGGGGGCACGGAATCCACCCTCCCAGCCCCACAGACGGGCCCTCTTCGACCACTAAGGGGCACGCAAAGGCTCTGCCGGTGCCCCTAAGTCCCGACCCCCAGCCCAGCCCTGCCGGTGCCCCTCACTCCCGACCCGCAGCCCCTGCTAGCCCAGCCCCGGGCTCCCCCAGCCCTGCTGGGGCCCCTCACTCCCGACCCGCAGCCCCTGCTAGCCCAGCCCCAGGCTCCCCACCCCGCCCAGCCCTGCCGGTGCCCCTCACTCCCAACCCGCAGCCCTGCTAGCCCAGCCCCAGGCTCCCCACCCCGCCCAGCCCTGCCGGTGCCCCTCACTCCCGACCCGCAGCCCCTGCTAGCCCAGCCCCGGGCTCCCCCAGCCCTGCTGGCGCCCCTCACTCCCGACCCGCAGCCCCTGCTAGCCCAGCCCCGGGCTCCCCACCCCACCCAGCCCTGCCGGTGCCCCTCACTCCCGACCCGCAGCCCCTGCTAGCCCAGCCCCAGGCTCCCCACCCCGCCCAGCCCTGCCGGTGCCCCTCACTCCCGACCCGCAGCCCTGCTAGCCCAGCCCCAGGCTCCCCACCCCGCCCAGCCCTGCCAGTGCCCCTCACTCCCGACCCACAGCCCCTGCTAGCCCAGCCCCAGGCTCCCCACCCCGCCCAGCCCTGCCGGTGCCCCTCACTCCCGACCTTTCTTTGGTGTTTATAGGGGGCCTGCCCCATGGTGGGGGCTTTCAGGCACTGTGGGAGGAGGAGACATTTACTCTGCCCCCAGGCAGTTCTGTGCTGGCGGCCGTATGCCAGGCCGGCCCAGCTGTGCCCGGCACGGCCCCTGGAAGCCTCCCAGCTCTGCCGCCCGGCCTTGATTCCTGCAGCCTGCGTCAGTGCCGCCCCCACCCCCGCCAGCCCGCTGCAGCCCCACGTCCAGCGGGGAGCAGAGCAGGTTCCCGGGGGCGTCCCCTGAGCCTCCTGGGAAGGGGGGTGGCAGCCAAGGGGAGTCCCTGGCTAGGGTGGCACCGGGGGCTGCACCCATGGGGGCTCTCCCTAGGACACAGGGCAGGTCACACGGGGACTGTGGGGGGGGGCGGCCACCTCCCTCGGAGCCAGGCCAGGGGTCGCAACAGCTGCGGCAAGGTCCCTGGGAGAACGAGAGCCAGGGCCAGGCCCCGCCTGCCACGGCATGTGCGTGTGCCCTGAACACCGCCAGGGGCCTCCCCCACATGCTGTCCTGTACGGGAACCTCCCCCAGCTCTGCCCCTGCCCCCAGAGCCCTGCCCCACGGCCCCTCTATCCCGGCCCTGCCCTACAGTCCCTCCATCCCAGCCCTATCCCCCCAGCCCCACCCTACAGCCCCTCTATCCCAGCCCCACCCTACAGCCCCTCTATCCCAGCCCTGTCCCCCCCAGCCCCACCCTACAGCCCCTCTATCCCAGCCCCGCCCCACAGCCCCTCTATCCCAGCCCTGCCCCTCAGCCCTGCCCCCGGAGCCCTGCCCCACGGCCCCTCTATCCCAACCCTGCCCCCCCAGCCCCGCCCCACGGCCCCTCTATCACAGCCCTGTGGCCCCCAGTCCCACCCTACAGCCCCTCTATCTCAGCCCTGCCCCCCCAGCCCTGTCTCACGGCCCCTCTATCCTCGCCCTGCCCTCAGCCCTGCCCCTCAACCCCACCCCACAGCCCAGCCCCCACAGTTCTGACAGTGCCCCAAAATCCCAACCCACTACCCCCTCCCACACACACCCAGCTGCTCCGGTCTGCAGGACAGCACCGGTGGAGCCCCCATCTCTGTCCCTTCCCGTGGGGCCCAGTCTGGCCGCCCTCCCCAGGCTCTGGGAGCTGGAGAGACATGTTATGCAAATGCTGCTTGCAAAGTTCAAACCAGCCATTTGCAAAGCAAAGGGGGGTGGTCTGAGCTCAGCCTCTGCCAGGCTGGGGGGCAGAGCAAGAGGAGGTCAAGGTTTCCCGCAGCCCCAGCACCCTGCACAGGCAGCCAGCCAGGGACTGAATTGGAGGCAGGAGCTGCCTTAGGCCACACACAGGCTGGGGGGGAGGAGGCCACGCCCAGGGCTCCCCCACGGCCGGAGAAGCGCAGGTGACGGTGCCCTGCCTGGAACTCTGCTCAGCGGGCGGGTGGCTCCGGTCCCCAGCCAGGCCTGCATCTGCCCCACGCTGCTGCACAGGAGAGAGTCACAAGCCAAGGGCACAGTGTCCTCGCGAGAGCCAGAGCAAGGGGGAGGCTGCCCTTCCATGGCCCCCCCAACCCCGAGCGCAGCCCTTGGGGTCCTGACAGAGCTCTCCGGAGCAGCCCACGGACCCCAGCACATCCAGACAGCCAGGGGCTGCCCCAGTCCAACACGGGGGCCCAGGGGAAAGACCCCAGCCCAGCTCCCGCGCTGCCATCACCCCCCATCCAGCCACACTGCCCACACTGACCCCCACCTGCCCTTGGCCCCGTCGGCACCTTGCCCAGCAGAAGGCAGCTCCACGCCCCACAACCCAATCCAGCCCAGAACCATGGTGCACCTGCGGCTAGCACGGGCTCAAATCCCAGCGAGTTGGGCCAGTCAGATACAAGCCACAGGGGCCGTCCGCAGGCTCCCGGCACAGCCACGGGCCCACACACCGCCGGGCAGGCCCACCAGCCACTGGGAAGCCGCTTGTTTGGGCACTGGGCCAGAGCCCCCGGGCTCTGCCCCGCCCAGCCCAGCCCAGCAATCTGGCCAGGAGCCAGTGCTGGAACCAGGCCCCAATCCTGGCAGAGAGGGAGCTTTGAGAAGGGACTGGCAGGGGTGGCCGTGACAGGCCTGACTAGCCCAGGACAAAGCCTTCGCGGAAGCCCAGCCGGATCCCAGAGCCCGGCCGGCGCTGGGCTGGGGGAAGAGGTTTGATCTGGTCATGGGAAGGAGCTAAATTCTTCATGAAGGAACCGGAGGAGGGAGCAGTGCCAGCCCCCCCCCCCCCCCCCAGCTCTGCAATGCACCCAGACCCACTGGCTTGTGGGAGCACCCACGGGAGGCTGGCGCCTCCCAAGTGTTTGGGGGAGGCAGGAGCCCACGAGCCAGGCTTCCCCTGGGCACAGGCTGAGCCCCACACCCCCCCTTCCCGGTGCACCAGCCAGCACGCCACCCATCCCCCCTGTCGGCAGGGCTCCCCGAACGGGCTGGTCACAGGGAAAGGGGAGCCCCCTGGGACACGATAACACAGGTGCACACCCAAGGTGGCACAGCCCTGACAGGCAAAGCCAGGAGCCCTGAGAGAGGGGGATGGGCCCCCGGGGAAGGGCCAGGAGCCCTGCTGCTCCGGGCGGGGTGCCAGACAAAGCCCTGGGATAGTGCAGGGGACATTCCTGCCCCGTCAGTCCCCGCCCCAGGCCAGGTGCTCTGCCAGGCTGGGAACCCCTGTGCTGGGGCCACTCCGGTCTCTGCCCCCGGAGAGCCATCTGCCCTGCTGCCAAGGGGGTTCAATGCTCATGAGCGCGGGGGCCAGAGGAGCCCACCCGAGTGAGGCAGCTTGGGGTCGCCACTGGCAGAGGGTCCTAGCGATCAGCCTCCGATATGCCTGCGGCTGGGGAGGCTCAAGCTAGGAGGTTGCAGGGCTCAGGCCGCGTGGTCTGGCCAACGTGGGAGATGGCCACATGGCCGGCTCACCAGTGGGAGAGAGGGGCAGCCCCGCCCAGCCAGACTCACACCAACTCAGCGGGGAGGGACGGCCCACAGAGGCAGCCAGGCCTGGGTCCCCCCAGCCTCACAGCCCTGCAAAGACGCTGTGGGGCAGGCACTGATCATGCAGGGAACCCCCCTGCCAAGCCACACTGGATAACAGGCCGGAACGGGGGCATAGTGGACACTGCAGGACTCCTGGGTTCCACCTGCGACTCTGCATGGGCTGCCGCCTCTGCCGAATGGGGACGGGGCCTGGCCTGCTGGGGTGCAGGGGGTGACAGGACACCCAGCCCTCCATGGGGCCTGCAGCCGAATGCCAGGGGGTGGGGGGCAATAGCCCAGGCTCTCAGCAGCGCCTCCCCCCAGCCCTGGCACCGGGGCCCAGGGCCGAGTTCCCCTGTTGTCCCTGCAGAGGAAGCTTGGCTGTTGCGGATGGAGCAGGCCCCCCCCATGCTTCCTTCCTGGCTGCACTGGAGAGGAGCCTGGCCCATGGACCGGCCCCAGCTGCGCTGCTGACTCGCCATGCCAGGAGCACCCAGGCGGCATCCCCCAGCCCTGCCCCCAGCCTCTGCCCTGCTCACCGGGGTGGGGGCAGAGCTGCTGGGCGAGCGGCGGGGGGGGGGGTCCCAGAGCTACCTGGAAGGGGTACGGAGGCCCCCGTCAGTATCAGGCAACGGCCAGAGGATGCAGGCCTCTCCTGGCTGTCTGCAGAGGAGGAGTAAGAGGGACGAGGCAAATGCCCTGCGCAGCCAGCGTGTCACGCCCCCCCGCAGGACAAGCGTGGGCACCTCGCAGGCATGCAGATGGCATAGGAACAAGTGGCCTTGGCAGCAAGACCAGCTGCATCTGTGTCTCTGGGCTCGCGGCCGCCACCGTGAACAGAGCGCGCTGCCATCGGGGGACTGAGGCCAGGAGCCCCCGGCCCGGCATGGCCAATCCCACACCTCGCCTGGGATCTCCACTCGGGCTGCCCAGGCCACAGAGCAGGGGCAGCAGGGACCCCCAGGGGCCAGCATGCAGCTCCCTCTGGCTGCAGTAGGATCCCAGAGATCACCTCTGCCACCCTGCAGGGGAGACGATGCTGGTCCCATGGTCACCACCCTGAGCCACTGGAAACATGGCCTGGCCGTAGCTGGAGCTCCCTGCCCCAGCCTGCTCACGGTGCTACCCAGCACCAGGACAGCCAGGCAGGCCCTGGGCACCACCTCCTCCTGTCCGGCATGTCCATGACAGTGTAGCCGGAGGAGGAGGAGGTCCCAGCAGGGGGTGTCCTCTTCCCACCTCACCACATCTGGCAGTCGGCAGCGCTGGGCACCTGCTCAGGAGCCCCCAGAGCCCCCCACTCGTGCACACCACAGGCCCGTCCTAGCCAAGCACGTGCTGCACGTAGCACAGAGGAGACAGGGTAGGGCCCCCGCACCCCACATCCCACCTCTGCTGGGGGTACCCAGGCACCAGCAAGCTCATGCTCAGGAGTAAGGTTGGGCCGGGGGTTCAAGTCCTGCTCCCCCAGGGAGTTGCCGTGTGTGTTCCCAGCTGTACGATGGGGTACAAGCCCTGCTTGCCAGGGGGCAGGAGAGATTGCAGGGGACTGTGTAAGTACCAGAGCCAGCAAGGGCCGCAGTATCCCACTGAACTGCAGGGGCCAGCGGGAACACTCAGCACCCCGGGGTGCCCAGAGGGACCCTGCACCTACAGAGGGCAGGGCCTCTGTTGGTGCTTACTGGCCTTTTCCAGCTGCCTCGCCTGGAGGGGAACTGCCTCTGGGAATGGGAGGGGGCAACAGACACGCTGTGCTCTAAGTGGGCTGGGAACGCACATGCCACTGTGCCTGGGCGCCAAGCACTCACACAGCTCCTGCCCACCCCGAGGCCAGGCTCACAACGGGCGCACACACCCACCTCCCGCCGGGGACGCGCCGGGCCCCCCTGTCTGCAGGAAGCAGCCCCGCCGGATTTTATAACTCATTTCCTCACGTGGATACGGATTGAAGGAACTGGTTCCCAGTTCCACAGCGAGGAATCCCTGCTGCGCTCGGCCTTGGCGTGAGACACTGGGGCACGACTCCAGGGCCACCCCGTGGTGCTCTGGTCCACCAAGCACTGCGGCATGCATCTCCACCCCTTCCCACCCCACACACGCCCTGGCACACGTGAGGCACCATGCTAATGGGAGATCTTCCTTCCCATCCATGCCAGGCCTGAGCTGGCTAGCTGGCGCTCTCGCAGGGCCTAGGACCCTCCTGTAGCGAAGGGAAGGACCCCCAAGTCTCCATTGCCATAGGGGACTATGCTTCCAGCTATGCCCCATTGGCAAGGCAGACCCTTTGGCCTGGGGCCTGCGCCGCCATGGCTTGGAGGCAGCGTCGCAGGAGGGGAGATACCACTAGCAGCTCCGACCTGGTCTCTCATGACACGCCGCGCTCCGGCCCAACGCCTGGCAGTGCGATGAACGGACAAACGGACACGCTCATTCGGCACGAGGCCTTCGGATACCACAGTCCTTCCGATGACCTCACTGCTGTTCGACTGCCGGGCCCCACAGCAGAGAAATGCACCTTCTCTCCCAGGCCGGGGCCAGCGTGAGGAGCCAGTGTCGGCCTGATTCTGCCCCGCCACGCTCTCCCGACCCAAATCCACGCCGGGGAATCCTGCCTGGGAGACTCCTCGGGGCTGGGGGGCACCGTTCGGTTTGGAAAACACGAACAGGGATCCGAGTCCTGCCCCAGGGAGCCCCTGGGGGTGGAACCCACCAGCCAGCCCAGCTGCTGGCCCACCCTGCAGACGGCACACGGGCAGCAGAGCCCCATCCCGGGGTGGGGCTGCCAGAGGGGCAGGTGCGATGGTGCCCGGGCTCTGCTAGGGCTCCCACCCTGGCCACCGCCTGCAGCCCAGGGTCGGGGGAGCGAGTGCCCAGGACAGCACTGGCAGGGGCATTCACCGGGAGCCCCCTCCCCAGAGACCCCAGCTGCTCTGCACCCGAGCCGAGCCAAGGGGGGGCTCCAGGCACCCCCTTGCCCCGCCCCCCGAGAGCCCTGCACCAGTGGGGAGCGGCTTGCGGGGGGGTCTGACACCCTCTGCCCCTAGCGCACAAGCTCCCGCCCCCCCCCCAGCCAGACCGAGCGGGGCCCCCAGCGGGGCCTGCCCCCCGGCTCTGCCCAGCCCCCCGGCGGCGGACGAGCCCGTGCGCGCAGGCCGGGCCGGGGGAGGCCCGGAGCCCTCACCTGGGGCGCTGCAGTCCGCGCACACCTCGGTCCGCGGCGCCTTCCGGGACATCCTCAGCGGCGAGGCGGGCAGGGCCTTCTGGGCCAGCGTGGGGCCGGGCCGGGCTCTCCGGGGTCCCGCCGCTCCCACGGCGCAGCTCCTGCAGGAAGCGGCGCAAGCCCGGCCCCTGCGCAGGGAGGGGTTCGGCGCAGGCTCCCCCCAGGCCCGGCCTGCCGGAGGAAATGGAGCGGCGAGCGCACGGGGGCGCAGCGCCGCGCAGCCACGGCGCGCAGGGGCGGCGGGCGGCGGGCAGCTGCCGGGCTGAGCTTCGCCCTGGCCCGCCCCGGCCGGGCCGCCGGGACTCAGGGGCTGTTCCCAGCTTTGGGGGCAGCGGGGCTAGGAGCCAGGACTCTTCTCGCCTTCGCTTTGCCACTGCCCGGCTCCCTGGCCCGGGGCGAGTCACACCCCAGCTACTTTGTGCCTCAGTTTCCCCATCGCACGCTGGAGGCCATGGCACTGACCTGCCTGCGCAGGGCCTGCTTGCTGGCTCCTCGGCTGCCTCCCTGCAGCAGCCGGCGCTGTCCAGGGTTCTCTCCTCCGGCCTGTCCACTTCCCTTGTTCCCCACCTAGGAGCCTGACCCCCACCGCTCTGTGACCATTTATTTGCTGTCCCCCCTTCAGCGGTTTCCTGGCTCCGTGCCCCCCCCCCCCAAGGCGAGTTCTTTGCTCGGGTTGGCCCCGCCCACTCTTCCAGGATTTCGGAGGTGGGGCTGCCTAGCTGGCTGCTCTCCCCCATTGCCCTCCGTGCGTGGGGAAAATCCTCATCCCCATCTGTAAAGATGCCACCTTCTCCTCCTTTACACCCTCTGTGGTGCGACACACAGACCCCCGATCTAGCACCGGCTGCAATGGGGCTGGCAGGGACTTCTGCACCCCACCACCAGGCCTGGCCTCTCTGACACCCGGAGCAGGCCCTTTCTGGGGCAGGAGGGTCTCTGTCACTTGTCACAGCCCCTCGCACAACCGGGCCCTGACCTGGTGTAACGCCGACAGACCTTGGGTGTTGGTGGGTGGGATCGAACCTGGGACCTCTGGAGCTTAGTGCAGGAGCTAAAAGCCAGCTGGCTGTAGAGCAGACTGTCACGGAGTCCCTGGGCGATGCTCTGGAACTGCTCCCCATGAAGCCAGTCAGGACTCTGGGGTAGTCGCCTTTCTGTGAGCAGCCTGTCTTCAGGACACACAGCTCACACCGCTTCCACCTTCCTGGGTCTGACCTCGGAGCATTCAGCATCCTCTGCCTCTCCGTGCGCTTTCCCCCAGCGAGTCCGCTCAGGCGGGGCTCCTGGGGAAGCCAGAGGGTCCTGCACCCCAACTCCACAGTCAGACGTGACTCTCAGCCAGCCAGTAAAACAGAAGGTTTATTAGACGACAGGAACATGGTCTAAAACAGAGCTTGCAGGTGCAGAGAACGGGACCCCTCAGCTGGGTCCATTCTGGGGGCAGTGAGCCAGACAACCACGTCTGCACTTCACTCCATGTCCCAGCCAGCCCCAAACTGAAACCCCCTCCAGCCCCTCCTCCTCTGGGCTTTGTTCCTTTCCTGGGCCAGGAGGTCACCTGATTCCTTTGTTCTCCAACCCTTTAGCTCTCACCTTGCAGGGGGGGGGGAAGGGCCCAGGCCATTAGTTGCCAGGAAACAGGGTGTCGGCCATTCTCTGTGTCCAGACCCCTGCACACACCTGCCCTCTAGGGCTCTGCAATGATCATACACCCTTACCCCACCCCCTAGATACTTAAGAACTGCCTAGGGGAAACTGAGGCACCCCCACACTATTCAGAGGAAACATTAAGAATAGTCCCACTTCGTCACATCTCTCCCCCCTTCGAGATCGAACTGAGCGGGGTCACTTTAGCCGGTGACCTGGGGAAGTTCGAAGCCACCAACGTTCCCATGGATGCCCCAGCATCTCTCCCATTCCTTGGTAGGAGTTACACCAGGCCCTTCCATTTTCACACCCTCCCTTAGGTCAGGGGTGGTCGATAGCACTCGCAGGCCGCATGTGGGAAGGTTTATGCAGCCCATGCCCTTTGGCCACCCCAAGAATGTCTCCCCATTGACCATCACCTTCTGCTCCCACTGGAGGTCCGAGGGGCCTGGCCCCAGGAAACTCCACACAGACATATAGGTTGGGGTCAGGAGTGGGAGCCTGTCCACATCCCCAACCATCTGGCTGACGGAGTCTATGGCCTTGGGACCCAGCAAGGGAGCTAGACACCGGGGCTTTTCCGCAGGGTCCCCTTGGTTCAAATCGCCAGCCTGCTCAAAGGCAGTGAGGTGGGCATCCACACCCCCCCCCTCCTTAACCAGGGGCAGCAATTTAGTCTCGAGGTTCCCTGCGGAACTGGCCCCCCGGGATCTATCCCCACTCACCCCGGGGAGGTCCCCTAGGCCTCTCCGCTCCCCACCGCCAGTTCATGCTGCTGCTGCTTCTGCAGCTCTTTCTCGGGCTCTCGCTGTCCCCCACAGTCCTCTTGCTCTCTCAGACTCAGCTCCAATCCCGTCCGTCTCGATCCCCCGATGGGGAACCCGATCGTGAAGACCCTCGTCTGGTCGGGGACAGGAGTCTTGGGGATGCCTGGCTCCCGCTTCAGCTGCTCCCAGATCCTGCTATAGCCCCAGTTGGGGTCAGGAATCTGTTCCTTAGAGCGGTCATCCTCCTCCAGCTGCACGATTAACTCTGCTTTGGTGAACTTTCCAACGCTCAACCCTCTCTTTTTGCACAGGGTTACAATGTCCTTCTTAAGGAGACGGTGACAGGCCATCACTCTGCTCGTGTGTTCTCAGCTCCCCACGGTTTCCAGGGAGAACCCCTAGTGTGCCAGCCCTTCTCGAGGTCACCACCTCTTTGCCAGGGTCGAGCTGCAGACTCCTCCGCCCCTTGGACTGCTCGCTGCAATCCCCAGGGGAACCCTGTTACTGCACAGTCCTTCTCGCTGGTCACACACTCCCAGGGGTTAACCGCCCCCCGAAACCGCTCCTCTCTGAGCCTTCAGCAGGCCTGGTCCTCGGCAATCCCCCTTCGTGTTACTGCTCCCCAGTCACTTACTGCAGGAAGCGCCATCCACGGGGTGCAGTACATCCCACCGCTGCCACCAGTTGTCACGGAGTCCCTGGGCGATGCTCTGGAACTGCTCCCCATGAAGCCAGTCAGGACTCTGGGGTAGTCGCCTTTCTGTGAGCAGACTGTCTTCAGGACACACAGCTCACACAGCTTCCACCTTCCTGGGTCTGACCTCGGAGCATTCAGCATCCTCTGCCTCTCCGTGTGCTTCCCCCAGCGAGTCCGCTCAGGCGGTGCTCCTGGGGAAGCCAGAGGGTCCTGCACCCCAACTTCGCAGTCAGACGTGACTCTCAGCCAGCCAGTAAAACAGAAGGTTTATTAGACGACAGGAACATGGTCTAAAACAGAGCTTGCAGGTGCAGAGAACGGGACCCCTCAGCTGGGTCCATTCTGGGGGGCAGTGAGCCAGATAACCACGTCTGCACTTCACTCCATGTCCCAGCCAGCCCCAAACTGAAACCCCCTCCAGCCCCTCCTCCTCTGGGCTTTGTTCCTTTCCTGGGCCAGGAGGTCACCTGATTCCTTTGTTCTCCAACCCTTTAGCTCTCACCTTGCAGGGGGGAAGGGCCCAGGCCATTAGTTGCCAGGAAACAGGGTGTCGGCCATTCTCTGTGTCCAGACCCCTGCACACACCTGCCCTCTAGGGCTCTGCAATGATCATACACCCTTACCCCACCCCCTAGATACTTAAGAACTGCCTAGGGAAACTGAGGCACCCCCACACTATTCAGAGGAAACATTAAGAATAGTCCCACTTCGTCACATCTCTCCCCCCTTCGAGATCGAACTGAGCGGGGTCACTTTAGCCGGTGACCTGGGGAAGTTCGAAGCCACCAACGTTCCCATGGATGCCCCAGCATCTCTCCCATTCCTTGGTAGGAGTTACACCAGGCCCTTCCATTTTCACACCCTCCCTTAGGTCAGGGGTGGTCGATAGCACTCGCAGGCCGCATGTGGGAAGGTTTATGCAGCCCATGCCCTTTGGCCACCCCAAGAATGTCTCCCCATTGACCATCACCTTCTGCTCCCACTGGAGGTCCGAGGGGCCTGGCCCCAGGAAACTCCACACAGACATATAGGTTGGGGTCAGGAGTGGGAGCCTGTCCACATCCCCAACCATCTGGCTGACGGAGTCTATGGCCTTGGGACCCAGCAAGGGAGCTAGACACCGGGGCTTTTCCGCAGGGTCCCCTTGGTTCAAATCGCCAGCCTGCTCAAAGGCAGTGAGGTGGGCATCCACACCCCCCCCCTCCTTAACCAGGGGCAGCAATTTAGTCTCGAGGTTCCCTGCGGAACTGGCCCCCCGGGATCTATCCCCACTCACCCCGGGGAGGTCCCCTAGGCCTCTCCGCTCCCCACCGCCAGTTCATGCTGCTGCTGCTTCTGCAGCTCTTTCTCGGGCTCTCGCTGTCCCCCACAGTCCTCTTGCTCTCTCAGACTCAGCTCCAATCCCGTCCGTCTCGATCCCCCGATGGGGAACCCGATCGTGAAGACCCTCGTCTGGTCGGGGACAGGAGTCTTGGGGATGCCTGGCTCCCGCTTCAGCTGCTCCCAGATCCTGCTATAGCCCCAGTTGGGGTCAGGAATCTGTTCCTTAGAGCGGTCATCCTCCTCCAGCTGCACGATTAACTCTGCTTTGGTGAACTTTCCAACGCTCAACCCTCTCTTTTTGCACAGGGTTACAATGTCCTTCTTAAGGAGACGGTGACAGGCCATCACTCTGCTCGTGTGTTCTCAGCTCCCCACGGTTTCCAGGGAGAACCCCTAGTGTGCCAGCCCTTCTCGAGGTCACCACCTCTTTGCCAGGGTCGAGCTGCAGACTCCTCCGCCCCTTGGACTGCTCGCTGCAATCCCCAGGGGAACCCTGTTACTGCACAGTCCTTCTCGCTGGTCACACACTCCCAGGGGTTAACCGCCCCCCGAAACCGCTCCTCTCTGAGCCTTCAGCAGGCCTGGTCCTCGGCAATCCCCCTTCGTGTTACTGCTCCCCAGTCACTTACTGCAGGAAGCGCCATCCACGGGGTGCAGTACATCCCACCGCTGCCACCAGTTGTCACGGAGTCCCTGGGCGATGCTCTGGAACTGCTCCCCATGAAGCCAGTCAGGACTCTGGGGTAGTCGCCTT